AAAATGCCCACCTGTCGCACGCATGAAATATGAAGGACATTTACTTAATAGGCTATGTAGTATTATGGAATTGTATTATTACTGAAATTTGTATCATTGGTTAAGATATGAGTTGAAGCGTTCAACTCATGAGTTGAGTTGAGTATGAGTTAAAGCGTATTTTTTGATATTTCACTTTGAAATCTGTTCACAGATAGAGGTTACGAAGAATACACCGTCTTGTTAGATTATATTTCGGTATTTATTATATGTTTTAGAACAATTACTTATTTTTACACTTCACAAAATTTGGTAAGATATTCAGTGTTATGTCATTGATAAATATCGTTATGCTTGTGGCGTATCAAACAGTCCTTACTAGTAAATATTTTTTGTGTAAGTTTTGTCTGTATCGTAAATATGTTCGTATTAATAAATGAGTACAGAGCAGATCCTGGAAATGAAGTTGATTGCTTATAATATAATCAGCTAGCAACCCAGATTATAAACGGGTCCTTGTGCTTAAGGGCTGGAGGTCAAGGTGGTCAGACACTGGGTGTTTGGAGAAGAATGTTCCTATCGAGGCGACATTCAGCGTTACAGAGAGCTTTATAGGGGCAATAATAGTGATACGTGCATTTAATAACAACAGCAGCAACAATAATAATAATAATAGTAAAGTTTTATTGTTGTACTCAGTATTTTTCTGGATCATACAGTGAATATGTTCAACAAAAGAATAACATTTATTTAATATATCCTTCCATTACTTATTTCATTTACCATTTTACATTGTTTGAATGGATTGCTAAGTTTTGAATATCAGTATCGTGCATCATAATTTATGTAACAACCTTAAGGCCCAAAAAGGGAAACCCCTTTGCCTGCCTGGTGGCACCTTTAACGCCACCTGCCCTGGCTGTGGGTCTCCATATCCTATTAGTCATCTAGAAAAACTAGCCCGCATTCTGATGGTCTTGTTCATAACATAGAGCAGTGTGAAAGGAGAGCGGCAGCCTTCTAGATGAACTTCACTTCTGTGGTACATTCAAAGTGGAATTCTGGAAGAGGTTTCACTTTATTCTACTGACTACTGATCAATTTGGCCGTCGCTCTTTTGCTGATATATAATCAGTGCCTGTTTTCATCCGTAGGGTGTGTCTTTCTCTTGTGTTTCTCTTGTTTAGCCCAAGATAGAACCGTAGTGAATTAAAAGCTGAAGTTTAAAATACTTTTGTATATAGTGACCTATATTTTAACTTTTACTTAAGTGTTTTCCTACAGAAATATTTTCCCCTTGAGCACTAACATTGTATTATTATTGTGACTTTATCATCAGGCTTATGGTTTTGCTGTTCTTCAGCCTTATGGTCGGTGTTTGCTCTAATGTATGTATTTTGTAGCTTTGTCAGCATTGCACACTGATGTGTATATGGCTTTGGCTCATGGTGCGAAGACACTGGCCCTTGTCACTCTCTGAAGTACAATACCTCTGCAGATCACTGTGAGACCCTGGTTCTTAAAAATCCTGGCTTATGATGTGCTGTATAAAGGAAGCTGCAGTTGCATTTTTGGAAACCGTAGTAACATATTTACATGTTCCTCAATTGACATTGGATTTTGCCTTTTGACTGTTGTTTATGCTGAAGAATATTAATTGAGGTAGGACTTGACGGTTAGATGGTGTCTGGTTTTTCTTCAGCTCTCAGTTCCATTTAATAAACCCTGCCGGAGAAGTAATATTTATTTTACAAGCTACTTCAACTGTGTCTGTTAAACCTGTGTTATTCCGACAGTATATGAATCCATTTATCGAGTACTTGTAAGAATGTCTGAAAAGTTCTTCTTGGTCTTGCGGGATCAGCGTATAATGCGTGTGTGGTTTTGTGGTAATGTGCTAATCTTTGGTGTGTTTGAGTACGTATATGTGTAATACAGAGAATTAGGCCACGGTGCTGCGTCCCAAGTGTGTCATGTGCATGCTGATAAGAGGATTCCCAGTTGTGGGTGGAGCTCGGGGAATGGGGTCCTTCTCAGATAACACCCCCTCTGCACTGGGCAGATACTGAGGGAGACCCTGGCTGCTTGTGGAGTACGTGTCACTGGGACTTCGTTAGCCTCACTGCGTTCCCCCTGTTTCCCAACCTGCAGACGCAAATTATGTGTCACCTGGCAATTTAGTTGGATAACTTCATCAGCCACAACACCATCTTTTAGCTTTTATTGTTTTTAAAAAAAAAAAAAAAAAAAAACACGTGGCCACTGTATTTCACTGCCATTGAGGTATTTTTTGAGTCTGAACTCCAGACAAGAACTTAGAAGAATTTAAATGTCATCATGCCATTCTTTATAGGTAACAGTTACTTCCAAAATCTATAGTGAAGTACCAACACACCATTATCAGTGGAGATGCATGGACTAGACCATTTGTGGTATTGTTCAGACAGTCACCAGTAGGGGACAACACTGAGAAAGGTCTTGACTGAACTATTTTAAAGCCAGGCCATTGTTTAAAGTGGACAATCATCCAGTAATTTCCTACTTTAAGACCTGTGTTGAATTCTGATCTATAGATTAGTTAAAGATTATTTGATGTGGCTTGCTTTTTCTATCCTGGAAAAATAGCGGTTCACCCCAGAATTTTAGAACTTTCAGTTTGTTGATGGTAGGGAGTCCCAGAGGAGAAGCGCAATCGTCTGCGCTGAGGGATAGCCCAGCCCAGGGGCAAACCGATAAGAAAGAGCGGTAGTAGCATGCTATGCAGAGATACGGCTATCACAGTGACTAACCACGGCTCACAAATGCACCACACTGTCTCTGGTATGACACCTGGACTCTGCGTAGGTCCTGTTCAGATGCTGCTGTTTGCAATAGTTTTGAGAACCTACCCTGAAATAAATGTACCTTTTCAGGCTGCATATCTAAAGACAGATTCAGAGAATGTTTACTGGCGTTTTGAAGTGAAAGTGATTAATTGCCAAGACACCACAACAAAATGTGTTCTTTGCGTTTAACCCATGCGTGACCCTGCTAATTCAGCACCCAGGGAGTAGGGCTTTGGGGCTGTACTTCAGCAGTCAGGGATTCAAACCAACAACCTTTTGATCACAAACACACTTCCCTAACCATTCAGCCACCACTTCACTGACTAAAATTGCTCTGCTTCTCTTGTGTTTCAAAAATGTTACCTTGAAAATCATTGAGGAATGAATGCTATTGCTAATCAGAAGCCTTCTGCGTTTTAGCCTGTGTTTCAGGTGCTGTGTCTCGCCTCTATAGACCATCGCACCTACAGCCTGAAGACTGTGCCCTGCTGTAGTCATGACCTCCACCACAGACTACGACAATGTGGAGATCACACAGCAGTACAGCCACGTCAATATGCGTTTTGAGCTTTCTGATGAGGAGCTGGACAACGACCACTCTTCAGCTCGCCGCTTTGAGCGCTCGCGCATCAAGGCCCTCGCAGGTGAGAGCGCTACTTTGTGGCTGCGCAAACGGGCTGTGGCTGCGCAAATGGGCAGGGGGAGAATGACAGTGACTTTCTCGTTTGCCATCAATATTTCCAAGAATTGTGGTATTTTTCAATTAGGTGGGTCTTCTCATAAGTCCTAAAAATATTTGTATACAAAAAGAAGGAGTGAATTTATCAAATGCACATTCCCAGTCCTTCCTTAAGGACTCCATAATATAGTTAGAAAGAGCTAGTTCTTAATTTTTTAAATCTGGTTCATTTTCATCTTCTTCCATTGGAGCAGTGTTTTCAAACCCGGTCCTCTGGGACCCCGCAACCGGTCCACGTTATTGCTCCCTCCCAGGGAGCAAAAATAGGAGCAAAAATGTGGACTGTTTGGCAGGGAGCTCGGGGGGAGCGAAAACGTGGACCGGCTGCGGGTCCCAGAGGACTGGATTCGCACTGCATTAGTGTTTATCCTGTTGTTTACAGAACTGACAACAATATAACAGTCATGTAATGACTTTTACAGTGTTCTGGTGGGTCAGGGGGGCATGGCCCAACCCAGGCGATTAACCTTAATACACTTTCCTTGCATGCAAATGCTGAAGGCTTGACCAGAAATCTCCTTCCTTTCTTCCTGCTTGTACCCTTTTCTCCTCTGCACCTATATTCTGCCTTCATTAAGGTCATGTGAATATTCTCATTAGAGAGCAGAACTAAAAATATTATTTTTTAGAGCATAATAGAGTTTTTACTGCATTTAATCTGCCCTTGACAGATTTCTCACTTGTCATGTATACGTGTACTTCAGAGATGGGTAATTCAGGTCCAGAGAGTAAAAGTCCAGAACAAGATTTTGTTTCAACCAACCAGTTGAGCAAAAAGAGTCACAGTTACAGACTACTCAACTGGCTGGTTGAAACAATATCTTGTTCTGGACTTTTACTCTGTGGACCTGAATTACCCAACTCTGATGTACCTCTGTGTTCCCCATCTGCCACAGATGTCTAGCGACACTGTATCCCTTTCCTCTCTCGGTGGGACGGATGGGAACATTCGGACATTCCCAGAATACTTATCTGACAGATCTGGGCAGCTGCCCCCTTGCCCGATGTGTAACTGAGTTCCTGGGATATCTATTGGAGCCTCTGACCTCTAACTGGCATGGGGGTCATTTGTCAAGTCTTTAAATAGTTTCAGCTCAGGGTTTGATGAAGGGATATGTAGTTCTCAAAGCCAAGCAGAGTACTGTACTGGGGTATACACTATTCCTTAAAACAACCATCTTAGTAACTATTAGCAAGAATTGTGGTCTTTAGTACCCTGTCTAGTGCTTTTTTCTCTTTAAATGATTTGGGTTCCTCTGTGTAGGAGTTGCTATTCAAGGTTTGCCGGCATGCTGGTGTCTCTGCAGTGCAGTCTGTGCTTCCTTTCTGAAGTGCAGGCAGACTTTTTTTTTCTTACATCACTTGTTAGGCACGCATGCATGTATACATATAAGTTCACAGATGCCCGCGCTCTCTCTCAGTCTCACAGTCTCACACAGTCGCACAGATGGCCTGCGGCACTCTTACAAATGCAGAAGCCGCAATGCCAGAGACAAGGCGCGCATATCGACGGACACTCGCATGCAAAGTGCATCCCACACAAACGGGTACCCACACAGCCTGCCCGCGTGTAGTGAAGAGCATCTTCACCTTCCTGCGCTCCAGCGTAATGGTGACGACGCAGAGCCGGAGGGAGTGGGCTGAGTGGTTTTCTGAGGGATGCACGTGTTCAGCGACATATTCTATGCATGGCTGGGGCGGTGAGGAGAGCAGTGCATTGACTGGAAGGCGGAAAGGAGGAGCAGCGCTTCATCACGGGAGTAAGGAGAGCGAGCGCGTGCAGGAGGGAGTGTGAAGGGGACAGACGTAGAGCAGAGGAGAGGAGGAAGGATGCCGCATACCGCCAGCTCCACACAGCCACATCTGTGGGTGAGGATGAGCAGCCACTGCCTGTATCGCGCTCCCGTCTGCCAAGATCGGCCACAGGAGGTCAAGTTCTGCTTGAAGACTGGGCGAGAGGAGCTTGGGAGAGCTGCTGGAGGTGATGGGGAGCAGGCCGGCTGTCCCCGTGCTAATGGCAAGGCACCTACAGGCTGGGTTAGGTTGGGGAACCGGAGTAGGAGCTCGCCCCCTATCCACAGGGCCCGGCAGTGCAGCCCATACGCCAGGCTACAGCCAGAACAACAACCTGAGAGGAATGGCACATTCCAAACAATGCCTTCGTCAGGGGCTGCAGGGATCCCCTCCCTTTCCTCTTCTCCGTTCTCCTCTTCCTGCTGCGCCCCAGGACATCATAGGCCACCAACACCGATGTCGGACTTGCCTCGAAACATGAGGCGGGCTCACTGGATGAGCTGCAGTACCTCCAGCATTTCCTTCCCCTCCATTCTGGATGGTCGCTTCAGGCAGCTGCAAGGTACTATCCACCTCAGGTGGAATGCTGGTCTCCCCGTCCAGGGCTGTTTGTGATGGAGGGATACGAGAGCTTAGGGAGTGTTCATTCTGTTCTTTTAAGAGACAGAGGGCCAGCAAAGTACAGTGGAATGCTGGTCTCCCCATCCAGGGCTGTTTGTGATGGAGGGATACGAGAGCTTAGGGAGTGTTCATTCTGTTCTTTTAAGAGACAGAGGGCCAGCAAAGTACAGTGGTGCTTTTAAATACATTTGTCATGTATTTACACTGGTGACCGAAATTGTGGAAACACTTCCAGTTAATAGAGGTTGCAGAACTTTATTCTAGTTACTCCAGTTACTTATTTAACATTGCACGATTGTTTATAAACATTGCTGCCAATATTTTTGTAGTCATCTCCGAAGAATATGCTGGGAGTTTCCGCAATTTTGGCCACTAGTGTATTTGTTTGGAAACAGGAGTACCCCAAATTTTCACTAAGTTCACTAAATTTTCAAACATCTCAAACTGCTTTGCTACTGTGTCCCATCTCATTGAAAGAGAGGAGGCTGATATTCTGTTCATCGTTCAATAATTTTTAATTATAAAATTAAATGAGAAATGACAGTATTGGCAGGTTAGCGGTGTAATAGCATCTTAATTTTTGCTTGGGATACTAGTTTAAAAGCAGTATATTATTGTCTTCCACATCCTCTTGTCCAGTTCTTTGGAAGATTCAGTGTTGTGTTAGTTGAGTGTTCTATGTTATTTTGTAAATATCATCCTGAGCGCCATTTAAAAACTTAATATTAATAACGACCAACCAGATCTATATATGCACAGTGTAACTTCAGCTTTTCTAACTTTGGGAAGTTTTTCTTTGGAGTACGGCTATCTTTCATTATATGCTTGCGTTAAATGACGCGCACGCCAGCGCACCCTGGTGGCTCTCTGGCCAGAACTGTCACTGAATATATTTTCCGACAACCGTGCAGCTTCTTGTTCCAGAAGTTTGCATTTAAAAGGAATCTTGTGAAATATCTCAAGGGCCTTGACTTTTCTTGTACGTTCGAGTACGTTTAGGAGTGAACACTCCGTCTGGGATGTAAACAGAGCGTTTGTGTATCTCACTGAGGATCGTTTCTTACCCCATTGATTCTGAGAGGTGATTTTCTGTTACTCAGAGAAAGGACTTCAAGGTGACTTCATGTTTTCTGCTGTCGTCCACCCCCCAATTTTATAATGCCTTATTGTCTATCTACTATACCAGTGTTTCTCAATCCGGTTCTTTGGAACCCACAGACGGTCCACATTTTTGCTGCCTTCCAGCTCCCGATAAAACGTGGACTGCGTGCGGGTGCCTGAAACACTGTCCTATACCATATCCAGTACGGGGTCACGGTGAGCCTGGGGCCTGTCCCCAGTGGTTCAGGGCGTGGGGAAGGGGGCAGCCTAAATGGGACGCCAGGCCAAGTCATGTCAGCACAAGCTTTTGGGTTCCAGAACGAGAACAGAGTCCGAGGAGAAAGCACACTAAGGACACACTAAGGAGGGACACTCTGAGCCAGCATTAGACCAGGTCCTTCATGTTCTGTTATCAGTAGAATCCTAGGCAACCCCACCTTTCCTTTTAACCTCCAATGCTTACATTTTTATGTAATCTAAATATTCATCTTCTCATTAATCCAGGGATTCTTACCTCTTACCAAATTAAGACTCAAAATTCAAACCTGTTATGTCATTCACTCAACCTTGCTTTGTCCCTCAAGCCTTTTGCTTACATTCTCATTATGCTGTCCTTATCTTGTTAAGCAGATATTTGATCCTTATTATGTCACTTCAGGAATTCTACTCTCTTCTCATATCTATCCAACTGACTAGAGCTGACTTGGAAAATACAGGGAAAACCTATCAGTACGAATGATCTGGTTGGTAAGTCACGGTTGCTGGGTCTTAAAATGAGCTTGACAACATGCCGTGAGACTATTAGTAAACCTCAGTACCAGAGCTGCTGCTAAATATGTCATATTATTCAGGATACATAGCTAAATATTTTACAGGCTGTTCTTTGAGGAGTCCTGAACAGCCTGATTGTCAGTTGTCAGGGACATGCATGGGTGACTTCAAGGCTAATGAACTCCAATTTGAGAATATTCTGAATGACAATTAAGACAAATTATTTAGACTTATTCGAAGTAACATTTCATTCTTCTGAAAAGTGCAGCACATCAATAGACTGCATTGTTCTTTATTTAGAATAATACATGGGAGTTGTTAGTAATAAGGGCCATTCAGTTTAAAAACAAGAAATGTTTCTGATATTATCCCCTGTCCCAGCAGACCAGGCCTAAAAGTGTACATCCTTCATCCTCTTGGGCTCTCCCTCGCTCCCTCCCTCCCTCACTCCCTCCCTCTTTCTCTTTTACTCTGCAGCTTTATGCTGTGAATCATTTATTTTAGAATTCATTAAAGATGCACAATTTTGCATCTGTATTTTGGGGATGGGGATAAATTTTACAACATCAGGCATTATAAAGGAATCTGAGCAGGAGGAAAGCTTGTCATACCCTTTCATGCCAGAATGGACACGCACACGCGTGTGTGCATGTGCACACACACTACATATTACTGGCGGTACTCATGTACGCAGCCTTGTCATCTGCTAGGAATGTCCAGCACCGCAGGCAAACTGAAATGTAAATAAAATGTATGAACCAAAACACATTCATATGCATGTGCAGTTCCTATGACGATACTTATCTATTATTTTCAGTGGATCTTGATACCCATACAGGGACAGTAAAATACCAAAGAGGGGGCAAACAGAAGCTGGGAAGCATCGCCTTTATCCTTGTATGATGATTTAAAAATCAGACCTTCATTTCACAGTATTATTTTACAGTAGCACTCTTTGGGGATAGGGTTAGGGTTAGGGTTAGCTGTTTCATTGGGTGGCACTATTGCTGGGGGTTCTCATCACGTCTTTGCTCTGTCTGTGAGGAGTTGGCATGCTGTTCTTGTGTCATACAAGTTCCCTCCGGGTACCATGGTTTCCTCCTGCAGTCCAGAGACCATGCTGGTGTCTTTTAAGTTGCCTGTAGCTTGAGCCTTGTGATGAAGTGATATATTGTCCAGGTTGTACCTTCGCCTGATGCACTGTTAGCTTAGACCAGGGGTAGGCAGCCCTGATGCTGCAGTCCCAGTATCCAGCAGCTTCTCTATCCTACCTGATGAGATACTGTCTGAGATTAGGTGTGGTCCCTTAGAGACCTGGTTGGACGGAGCATTTGCCCGATACTGGCACTCCAAGATCTGGGTTGCCTACCCCTGCGTTAGACTGTTGACTATTTTTTCGATTGATCGACTAATCTAATGATTATTTTCCTGTTTTAATGAGAAGTGACAAATACCCATGTGCTATTGGGGGTAATATTAACCAGCTAGGCTAGTTGCTAGTTATAAGCACATCTCCACTATCAGCGGAAGCAGGTCCTTTCATTTTAAATATTCATTGATCATCGATGTACTTGAAACACCATCTTTGCGTTGCATATGCTGCACTGTAGCATGGTTGCAGTTTTCCATAATCATCGTTGACTTTGCAGACTAATGGTTGTAGCTCTACCTAGGCTAGGTGGTTTGAAGATGAACGGATGATCTGTTGTTTACACAGCCAGTGTTCTGGTGGGACTGAGAGATAAACTTCGTGGCAGATGCTTATCTGTGTCCTCTTAATTCAGGTTCTGAATGGTGCTTAATTTGCATCGTCTACTTCTCTATGTATTTTAAAGATTTCTTCCTTACATGGGCAGAAAGAAAGAGCGATAGCGATAGACAACCCAGAAATATCCACAAAACAAAACACAAAGAACCGCAAAAAGGTTCAGGTTTATGCAGATACCCACATCATGGCAAATGACAAGCAACAATACAGAGTTATGGAAGCCTTACAGAATTCCATGTACAGTAAAGGGGCCGTAGGCTGGACTCCTCCACGTAGACAGTCCACATAACTAGATGATATCAGAGACGCAGATAGGAACAAGATTTACAAGAGGCTAGATCAGAGAAGAGCGCAGGCATGAATACAGTCATTTCCCTAGAGAAGCTGTTGGTGCCTATGAAATATTGTGGCTTAATAGAAAAAAATGTGAGAGCAAGAACACATGCTGCATGTTTTATGTTACATATAATAAAGAAGTGTTCCCTCTTTTATTTAAGAAGATATGTGCTTAATCTCATTATGTCCTTAAAGATTGCCATTAATCATTGTTAATTATCTGTAGTTTTTCCTTTCAGTGCTGTCTCTTCACCCTTTCTTTGGTTTTCAGTTTTAATACGTGCATAACCTATATAAAGAAACTGCAGATGAAACGTGCCCCCTTGTTCCAGTTTGTAATATATGCTTATGAAGCTTAAATAAAGCTAGAACACGTCTGATTGGTTTATTTATCTATTTATTTATTCTACCCCTGGGTAATTGTTTTTTTTAATTAGGCATTGAACAAAGTCTAAAATAATTATTTTTTTTTTAGCTCCAGATGTTTAAATAAAGCTGTTCATTTCGGATTTTTAAAGTTGGATATAAATTCCATAGATACTACATAAGTATGTTGTCACTATACAGTATTTGGCTTCAGTTTGGGTTAAACTGCCATAAAAAAAATATATATATATATATTTTTTTTTTAAATAAAATATTTATTTTATTTTAAGGGGATGTATGAATCTCTGTTTATTATGCACCTATGATAGAAATAAAACCATATTGTTTTTGGGCCCTATTAGACGAGCGAGAGGTAGTCCAGAAGAAGACCTTTACAAAATGGGTGAATTCAATCCTTTCACGAGTAAACTGCCGGATCTCAGACTTGTACCACGATCTGCGGGATGGGCGCATGCTGATCAAGCTTCTGGAAGTTCTCTCCGGGGAGTATCTGGCAAGTGCCTGTGCCTTATTCTCCAGCCTCACCGCCTGATCTCTACCTGCGCTTCTGTCGTCATGCTGAACCTCGTTTCTCTCATTCAGCCGAAGCCAACGAAGGGCCGCATGCGGATCCACTGCCTGGAGAACGTGGACAAAGCGCTGCAGTTCCTCAAGGAGCAGAGGGTGCACCTGGAGAACATGGGCTCCCACGACATCGTCGACGGCAACCACCGTCTCATCCTGGGCCTCATCTGGACCATTATCCTGCGTTTCCAGGTCAGGCAGCTGAGACAGTGCTGAATCCGCTCCTGGGCTGATTGTTATTGCTCTCGCCCCTGGAACAATATTATCGCATACAAGCACCAAGCTGTGGGTATTTTTAGATTCATTCCTAGAGGTTGGGGGACCATGTTTATTTTTATACCATCATTTGACTGAGTTCTTTATTTTTAGCCTTTTTCTGTAGTGTGCTTGCATTATTTAAGCTTTTAGAAATTCCAGGGTGAAAATGCCTTCTCCTCCTTTAGTTCTCACATGAAACAGTATATATGCATCAGAAAAATCCTACCCTATACTTAATGATGAACACAATGTGGAAATATAAGTGTTGTGTTCATTTAATTATGTCGAACACGTCTCTGGGGATTGTCCCACTTGTCCGTCTTGTGTTAGATGTGATCCTTTTTGATGTCATTATAAAAACCTCTGTTGCTGTTTCGTTCACAGATTCAGGACATCGTAGTGCAGGCAGATCACAAGGAAACACGCTCAGCAAAGGATGCTCTGTTGCTGTGGTGCCAGATGAAGACAGCAGGGTGATTTGGATTTTAAAATTATCATCGTTTTAATAGTGACTGGGGAGGTTGATTAGCAGCAGAGGTTCAGTGTCGTTGGCTAAAAATAGACACACAAATGTTGATCAGCCGGTATATTTGTTCATCATCTTTTTTCACAGATACCCTAATGTCAACATCACCAACTTCACAACCAGCTGGAAAGATGGGATGGCATTTAATGCCCTAATTCACAAACACAGGTGAGGTGCAAAAGGCAGGGTATGCCTGCATATATATAGTAGGTATCTTATTCATCTTCTCCATCTTCTCTCATTTGCTTTCTTCCCTGTTTCTTGTGCTTACAATATTCAGGCCAGACGTAGTGGACTATCCCAAACTCAAGGTTTCCAACCCCATTCACAATCTGCAGCAGGCCTTCAATGTGGCTGAGCAGAAACTGGGAATAACTAAACTTCTCGACCCAGAAGGTACGCAACATTCTCCAAGGATGCCCGAGAGCGCTGACATCATTGTTAAATGACCGGTTTGTCGAAAACAAGTAACAAATCATTTTTCTTGCAATTCTCATTTCTGACGGCCTTCCTCACAGATGTATTTACTGAGAATCCTGACGAAAAGTCCATCATTACCTATGTTGTGGCTTTCTACCATTATTTCTCCAAGATGAAAGCACTGGCAGTAGAAGGGAAGAGGGCAGGGAAGGTAAGGACATCAGTTAAAATTAAATCAATGTGGGGAAAAAAAATCCACTGCGGAATCTTTTATTGAAGAAACAGTAATGCCAGCTGCTAGTATGAGCTAGTATGAGCTTTGAGGTTAACCAAGACCTTTGTAAACAAAACTTCATGTTGCCCTGACTAATGTCTTGTATTTTCTTGCAGGTGCTTGACAGTGCAATTGAGACAGAGAAAATGATTCACAAATATGAAAGTCTAACATCTGATCTTCTGACATGGATTGAGCAAACTATAATTGTTCTGAACAACCGCAAGCTTGCCAACTCTTTGACTGGTGTCCAACAGCAGCTGCAAGCATTCAATTCATATCGCACAGTGGAAAAACCCCCGAAGTAGGTGCATCTGGCCTGGACAGTTCATACAGTTATATTCATCTCCCAATACATATTCTGCTTATTTTAATATTTCAGATTAACTTTACATGGCGGTGCAAGCCATTTGATGTTTGAACCATTTGGAATTCTGTCTGTCTTGAACAATTGAGACAATACATTGCAAACCTTTACAAAGTAACAAATCGAACTCTAACATTTTTAATGCATGCACTGAAAGAATCCATGTTAAGTTCCCCAGAAAAAAACAGGAATGTTCCGAAAGGGCCAGCTTGAGAGTTGGGTTACATTCATAGTTTTCTTGGTGATACACAATGAATTTATACACAAAGGATTATGAGCAATAGGTTTCCGTAGACTTCTGCTCCCATTTCACACTTCAGTTAACTTCATATCCAGTCAAAAACAGGTAGCGATTGTCTTTACCTTCAGAGGAAATAGACGATATTCTAACAGGCTTATATATCCTGGGCCTGCAAACAGCATGTCATAAGTTTTTCAGTTAACGGGGCTTTTAAATTCTTTTATATTTCAAAATAATGGGCTTCCTTACATACTCTATGAAATAGTTGGCTGATGGGTAAATAAACAGGCTGGAACACAACAAAGGTTGAACAATTTCTTATAGGCTATCTGACCTGAAATGTCTAGGTTCCAGGAGAAGGGCAACCTGGAGGTACTACTGTTCACCATCCAGAGTCGCATGAGGGCAAACAACCAGAGAGTGTACACACCACGAGAAGGAGCACTGGTGGCTGACATTAACAGGGTAATGGATACTGCAGTCACCCCGTGGTCTGTTGCAGTATGTAAATGTTATTGTGTTCTCATATATGGCTGGTAACCCTGTCATGTTCCCATCTATGTGTTTATGTAGGCATGGGAACGTTTGGAGCGAGCCGAGAATGAACGGGAACGGGTCCTGAGGGAAGAACTTATCCGGCAGGAGAAACTGGAGCAGATGGCAAGGCGTTTTGACAGGAAGGCAGCCATGAGGGAGACTTGGCTAATTGAGAACCAGCGTCTAGTGTCACAGGTAGTGATTTCCATCTCTGTGTATGTGCTGTATTGCGGAGGTATCATCTACAGTCTAAGTGCAGGGTTCCCCTATTATTTTTTCTCGAGGGGGAAACGTTCCATCAGCAACACAAAGCCAAGATTGAATGCAGGGGGGGAGGGTTGATCATGCAGTTGGGATTAAATTGTTTTTCATTCCCGACGTGGACCGGTATTCGCCTATTGAGTATCCCGGATCTAATGCACTAGTGACACTCATACACGTTGACAAATAAGAATATGTAAATTTACATGCAAGTTAAAATTAGCTTGGATGTTATGGAGGATATTACATTTTTATGTCTCATGCCATCAAAACATCTGCTCTGAAACACGCATCCTTCTACTCTCAAGGACAACTTTGGGTATGACCTGCCTGCTGTGGAGGCAGCAAAGAAGAAGCACGACGCAATTGAGACCGACATCAAAGCGTATCAGGAGCGTGTGCAGGGGCTGGTGGCCATGTCCCAAGCTCTGGAGTCTGCCGGCTACCACGATACCAAGCGCATTGATGCACGCAAGGACAATATCCTGCGGCTCTGGGACTATCTGCAGGAGCTTCTTATTGCTAGGCGAGGACGTCTAGAGAAGAATCTCACCTTACAGAAGATATTTCAGGAGATGCTCCACGTCATTAGTTGGATGGATGAAGTAAAGGTATAAACCTCATTGTTGCTTTTATGGTTACATTACCAGCATCGATACCACAGCTTTGGAACATACTGTTTTCGTATTGGTCCAGAGACGTCACATGGGTGTTGATTATTTTCGTATAAACCCACAGGTAGTTCCGGTAGCCTAATAACAATTTTATTGCGTTCTAATGTTTTACTAAACATGTTAATATAAAAACCAGTGCGACTTTTTACTCATAAATAAGCAGTTATTTTTATGAGCATAATTTTCCTTGGTTTTCAAAATGCAAGCGCCTGACAGTTTCTATGATAACTTAGCAGACCTGCCGCTTCCAGGGAGCAGCCGACCAGATGTTCTATCCTTATAGGGACTGTATTCTTAAGAGCGCATTGGTACATTATTAAATGCTAATTGAAATAATTTTCATCTTAACTGGAACTAGTTTATTCTATTATTATTTTTAGCTTGTTAGCTGTGGTTTAAGCAGGATAAAGTACTTCAACGTGTGCGGTAAATCACGCACTTGGTTAAACTTGGTTAGCATTACAACAGTTGTCGTCGATTATTTTCGTATATCCGCACACCTTGTCCTGGTTTATCCCTAATATATCATGCTTAGAAGCACCAGAGCCTAGGCCCTTACTTTCTTCTGCCATTTTCCGTGGTTGGCGCCTAGACTCGCCTCCTCTCGCCAGATTTCGGTAAGCATTTGCTCGAAGTGGAGGACCTTCTGCAGAAGCACGCGCTTGTGGAAGCTGATATTGCCATGCAGGCTGAGAGAGTGAGTTCTGCCAGTGCGGCAGCACTCAAGTTTGCCAACGGAGACAGTAAGTAAAGGGCATCTTGAATCCCAAAATAAAATATAACGTAACTATTAAATACTTCTATTTCATACAATAATCTATGCATCTATATCACTCCTGTCCCCCAGGCTACAAGCCATGCGACCCACAGGTAATCCGAGACCGGGTACAACATTTGGAATTGTGCTATCAAGAACTTTGTGCTCTTGCGGCCCAGCGCAAAGCCCGTCTACATCAATCCAGACGTCTGTGGAACTTCTTTTGGGAAACGGCGGAGCTCGAGAGTTGGATCAAAGAGAAGGAGCATATCTTCTCTTCGATGGATTATGGCAAGGATCTAACAGGTGTGCTGGTGCTCCAGAATAAACATAATGCCTTTGAGGATGAACTGGGAGCGAGACGTGCCCACCTGCAGCAGGTCATGGATGAAGGAGACAAGATGGTCCAGGCTAGACACTTTGGGACACCTGGAATCCAACAACGTATGGCTGACGTGCACAGACAATGGCAACAGCTAGAAGATTTGGCTGCATTCCGGAAAAGAAACCTGCAGGACACACAGAAATTCTTCCAGATCCAAGGTGACGCAGATGACCTCAAGACGTGCCTGCTAGATGGTCGGAGGCAAATGATGAGTAGCGATCTAGGTCACGATGAATATACCACCCAGAGGCTGTTTCGGAAACACCGAAGCCTACAGGATGAGTTGACAAAGAATGCCGCTACTATCGATACACTTTTTAAGCAGGCTAACAGCCTTCCAGAGGAACTACGCAACACACCAGATATCCAGAGACGACTGACGGATATCCGGGACCTGTACATGGAGCTCCTTTCACTGTCCGATCTACGCAAGAAAAAGCTGGAAGACGCCATGGCTCTGTACACCATCTTCAGTGAGTCAGATGCTTGTGAGCTTTGGATGAGTCAGAAGGAGACATGGCTGGTGGGACTGGAGACCCCAGAGAAGCTGGAAGATCTTGAAGTTGTGCAAAACAGGTATGATAAATAGAAACATAATAATAGTTTCGGCTTTCATTTTTGTTAGTGAATACTGAAAATGATCTTCCCTTTGATTCTTTATCACATAAATACAGAAAGTTATGATTGTTTGTATTAACTCATGTCAGATGATGTTCCGTTATCCGCAAATTCTACAGATTGAGTATCCTTGCTCAAGAGATGGGCAATGTCCAGTCACGCGTAGATGGTGTGAATAATGCTGCCCAGCAGTTGGAAGATAGCAGACACCCCAGCATGAAGGAGGTCAAGGAATGCCAGGCACATCTCAACAATAGGTGAGGAGCATTTTCTGTTTGGGGTGGACGAGTCTTTGTGAAATATATTACAACTCAATAACGCTGAGAGTGCTCTGCACCTTTTCTCAGGTGGGATGCCTTCAAAGCAATGGTAGAGGACAAGAAACAGAGAGTGGACTCTGCTCTCAGCCTTCACAACTATGGACTAGAATGTGACGAGACAAAAGCCTGGATCAAAGACAAGACACGTGTCATTGAGTCCACACAGGACCTTGGCAATGACCTTGCTGCAGTGATGACCATCCAAAGGAAGCTGTATGGGATGGAAAGGGACTTAGCAGCCATTGAGGACAAGCTTGTCTTCCTGCAGGGTGAAGCCAGCTTGCTAGCCAAGGACCACCCTGAGAATGCAGATGACATTTTCGGCAGACTGCAGACATTGGGCCAAGCTTGGGATGAGCTGAAGGCTACACTGAAGGGCCGGGAAGAGTCCCTGGGTGAAGTTAGCAAACTGCAGACCTTCCTGCAGGATCTGGACGACTTCCAGTCTTGGCTGTTTAAGACTCAGAAGGCAATAGCGTCAGACGAGATGCCAACCACGCTTCCAGAGGCGGAGCAGCTGTTGGATTTACACGCAGCTGCACAAACTGATATGTACAATCATGAGGAAGACTACCACCGTTTGAAAGACACGGGGATAACAGTGACACAGGATAAGACAGATCCACAATATCAGCAGCTGGAGCAGAGGCTGAAGGGCTTGGATACTGGCTGGGGGGAACTACATAAAATATGGGACAGTCGCAAGAACTTTCTGGAACAGGGCTTGGGCTTTCAGCAGTTTATGAGGGATGCCAAGCAGTCTGAGGCCATCCTTAACAATCAGGTACACATTCACGAACATTGTCAAGCCATTGGCAGTGCCTTTGTACTTATGTTGTTGCAGTCACATGAATATATTGCCCTTCTAGTTGGAAGTAGGCTATTTAGTGACTCATGAGAAAAACTGAGAAACTAAAGAACACTAATTTAGGCTTACATACAAAGACAAAATTTGGGTTGTAAACTTGAAGTACATTATGACGCTTTAACAGAGCATGTTTTCATTATTTGAAGTTCTGTGTTAGTATTAATCTGTGCCTGTTATTAACCTATTTTCTAACATCACCTTACCTTGCCGTACTGTGTCACTTACCCAAACTGACACCAGGAGTACACGCTGGCCCACGCGGAGCATCCAGACACCCTTGATGGAGCAGAGCAAGTTCTTCGAAAGCATGAGGACTTTGTTACCACGATGGATGCAAACAGAGAAAAGATCTTGAACACTTTGGAAGGTGGACAGAAATTAGTGGAGAGTGGCAACCTCTATTCCGAGAGAATCAAAAACAAGATGGAATCTATTGAGGACAGGTTGGTCTATTATTTTAATTATTTTATGATTTGGTATTTTGAGATATTTTGATCGTGATTTTGAGATGTGAGATTTAAAATGAAAGTAACACATAGGATCTCCATAACGGCAAATTGCAGTGATTTTTATTTATCGGTTGAAGCTACTAATACTACATATTATGTATATATTACTTTGAAAAAATCTTAGGCAGTCAAAGAAAAAGTTTGAAACTGTTTTTCTGGGTAGTAAGTGTATATTTGCACAGAAAAAAAACACAATTCACCAACAGAATATATGCAAATAATTCAAGTATTGCAATAAAAATAAAGAAATTCTTCTTTTTAGGGGGCTAGAACAACACCACTTTGGTTCCCAAACCACACCACAGTGACACGCCAGCCATTACATTCATTACATTTCACTAATAGTGCACTTAATTAGTTAACTTAAATAGCTACATTATTTCATGGGGTATTGATTAGGCAAACATGATTTACTAATAATCAAGTCAACAAATACATGGGTGTATTAGATAGACACTGGGGTGACTTTAAGAGAGGTTTGAAATGGCTGAACTTTGACAGACATAATGTTATAATTATTATTCATTATTGGTAGCCAATATGTGTACGTGTGTGTGTGCGTGTGTGTGTGCGTGTGTGTGTGCGTGTGTTTGTTGAAAAAAAGAAAAAATACATATAGACATATATAGCTGGAAGAGCCAGCTAGTTGCTTACCTTTCTTTATAGTATGCGCACTGTTTTCTTTCCAACCTTAAATGGCTTGGAATGGCTGAATTGTCCTGTCAGAATATCATAACTTGTTTTTTTATGTGAAATAGGGACTTTATATGGTATTATTATAACATTGTCTTATTGCACCAAGCCAGGTATTACCAGGGTAAGAGTAGGTGACTAGCATTCACTTGACAATGCTGTCAGATGCCTCTGCTTTTTCCGTTTGAGCTCTCTGGTCCCATTGTGCTGCTAGACAGATGCTCTTTTGATAGATATTGATCGGAAAGTGCTCTTAGATAAGCAGCCTGGCGTGTCTGAGGGGAGTTATGCTCGCTAATAGTGTAATTCCTTGCAGTGCAGTGCTAGTGATATGAGTACTGCTAGTGCATCTTCATTTTAGACCTACACACCGATATGGTCCCAGTGTGTGGCATTAGTATTGGCTCTGATATGTGTATTTAAACTCTGTAGATACAACACAAACCAGGGGAAGGCTAGGGAGGTGTCCCAGAAGCTGAAGGACAATCGTGATCTTCAGCACTTTCTGCAGAACACTCAGGATGTAAGTTCTGTTTTCTATGCTCCAAGTCTTTTTCTTGTATCTCAAATAACCACCTACCCATTTGAAATCTATGTGTTCGTGTTTCTACTATCTTTCGCACTTCCTCTGATGCCGCAGCTCACGCTGTGGATAAACGAGAAGATGCTGACCGCTCAGGATGCCTCGTACGACGAAGCGAGGAACCTCCACAGCAAATGGCAGAAACACCAGGCCTTTATGGCGGAACTGGCGTCCAACAAGGACTGGTTAAACAAAATCGATCAGGTGGGAGAAAAATAAATCGGTATGGGGAGTCCAAGAGGAGAATAGCCAGTGAGGAACACTCTAACAATTTGTGGTGTTTAGTCTGAAATCAGCTAAGTGCTTTACTTCTTTACATATTCACTTATACTTTCAGTTTTGTTTTATGTTGTCGCCCTATTTCATTGTGTTGAAGACCCCAGACAGTAATGGTTTTATAGCAATTTGTATACACTCTGCATTAATGATACTGATTCGCCCACATGCATGTCTAGGAGGGACACGAACTGATGCAGGCGAAGCCAGAATTTGAGCCTGTGGTGAAGGAACGTCTCTTAAAACTGCACAAGCTATGGAACGAACTGGAATCCACTACGCAGGAAAAGGCCCGTCTCCTTTTTGACGCCAATCGATCCGAGCTTTTCGACCAGAGCCTATCTGACCTTAAGAACTGGCTGACAGTCCTACAACAGCAGCTGCAGGCCGATGAGGACGTTAAGGATCTGATCAGTGCCAACATCTTGCTCAAGAAGCATCAGGTGTGTATATTTAAATATGCATGTATCAATGATTATGTGCTTCAAAATTCTGTCCAGAACAGTGTTGGAGACTCTGTTAGAGAAACTCATAAAAGTCATTCTTTATTCCGAAGTTTTGTTTCAACCAGACAGTTAAGTATAAAGAGTCACAGTCACTGAGTACTCAACTGGCTGGTTGAAACAAAACCAGGTCTGGATTTGTACGTTCTGGACCTGAACTTTCTACCTCTGTCTTTAATGGATTACTTTTGTGAGCAACTTCCCCAGCACTGGTCCGGAAGCATCCCAGTAATATGTGATCACCTTAGGGACAAGCAGTCAAAATCTTTTGAATTATAAATTATGTTAAAGAAAAACAACCAAGACAAAAAAAATAACAAACCAGTGTCTGTCTCTCTTAATGCTTCTTTCTGATGTCCTACTCAGATGACAGAGAACCAGATTAGGGACAGAGGACGTGAGCTGGAGGAGCTACAGGAGGCAGTGCAGAGCATGAGGGAGGATCGTCCCGGGATGGAGGTGGAGCTGCAGACCCTGCAGCAGCAGTTCCAGCATGTTCTCACCCCACTGGCAGAGCGGCGAGGGAAGCTGGAAGCTTCCATGGCTGTCCATCAGTTCTTCCGGGACTTAGCTGATGAGATCGTAGGAGCTCTTTTGCCTTTTTGCCGTGTAAATCTAAACCACATCTCCGTGTTATAAAAGAACATTGTAATTCTTATGGTGTCTCTCTTGGCAGCTATGGGTGGAAGAGAGGTTGCCGCTAGCAACATCAGAAGAACATGGAAACAATCTCCAGTCAGTCCAGATGCTTCTCAAGAAAAACCAGGTAAAATAAACCACCATGACAATATGAAAGAAACATCCATCCACTTTCTGAAATCACTTGTCCTATTCCGGGTCATGGGGTGTCCTGAGCCTATCCTGGAGGCTATAGGCACAAGGCAGGGAACAAGCCAGGGTAGGGCGCCAACCCATCACAGGGCACAAGGCAGGGAACAAGCCAGGGTAGGGCGCCAACCCATCACAGGGCACAAGGCAGGGAACAACCCAGGATGGGGCACCAACCCATCACAGGGCACAAGGCAGGGAACAAGCCAGGGTGGGGCACCAACCCATCACAGGGCACACAGACACACAGACACACCAGTCACCCACACATATACAAAGCTTGGTAACTCCAATCACCCTCAGCATGTGGACTGGGGGGAAAACCAGAACACTGGGAGGAAACCCCAAAATGACAGGGAGAACATGAGAACTCCACACACTGGGAACCCTGGTGGAGACTGGAACCCAGGTCCCAGAGGTGCAAGGTGACAGTGCTCACCACTGCCCCACCGTGTCACCCGTCAAAGAACTACCTATACATAGATATTTACTGAAGTGGTGTTATATCTATAATCATCAATAATCGTAAATAATGCTGAACCCCTAACCTCCCTCATTGGCTCCTCATCCCAGACCTTACAGAAGGAGATCGATGGCCACCAACCACGGATTGACGAGATCCTGGAACGTGGTTCTCGCATGAGGGCAGCAGAGAGCCCCAAGCCTGTGAGGATTGAGGAGCAAATGAAGGAGCTGCAGGACATGTGGACACGACTGCAGGAGGAGACCAGCAAACGCAGAGACCGGCTGAACGCCTCCAAGCTGGCCCAGCAATACTATAACGACGCGGATGAAGCAGAGGCCTGGACTGGAGAGCAGGAGCTCTATATGATTGCTGATGAGATGGCTAAGGTGACTGGTGCATTAACTAAACCTTTCTCTGAATCTAATAAACAGATTAATCGGTATGCATTAGAGACGAAATTGTATGAAGGTTTAATATCATGATTATAGTGACCAGAATTATCACAATTATCAGTATTATCACGGCATTGTTAAAATGTGCTGAAAATGTTCTAAAAGTACTGATACGCAAACTGAACTAATTTCACCAAGTTTTCCATTGAATATCACAAATAAAATTAGCAGCATTTTGTTTGCACAAATATAAAAATAATCACATAGCCAATACCTTACGTAAAGATGAAGGACATTATCATTAACATGAAAAATCTTCGGAGTACCATCGATGCCAATGGGCAAAATTCCTTCCGTCTTACTGTAGGATGAGCAGAATGCAGCGTTATTGTTGAAGAGGCATTCGACCCTGAAGCAGAACGTGGACGAATATGCAGAGTCCATCCAGCAGCTTGCTGACCGAGCCCAGAAGATGTTGGCTGAGGATCATCCTGATGGGTGCGTAATGTCTTTAAGTATCACATCTGCATTGATTTGTCTATTATCAGTTCCTCTTGCCCAATCAGAGTTACAACTGTATAGAACCTGTTCTGGTAAGTATAGGCATAAGGCAGTGGAACATTACCTATAATAATGTCTCTCTTAAACTTCTGGCAGGGAGGCTATTATTCGACGGCAAGGTCAAGTGGATAAGCAGTATGCCAGTCTAAAGGACTTAGCCGAAGAACGGAAGAAAAAACTAGACCACACTTGTCACCACTTCCAGTTGTGTCGTGAGGTGGAGGACCTGGAGCAATGGATTGCAGAGCGTGATGTCGTGGCATCGTCGCAGGAGATGGGCCAGGATTTAGACCACGTCACGGTACACAAACAGATTCTATGTAGTAATGCAAAATCGATTGTCTTCATTCAAGTGCTATCGCTCCCATAAATTCTGAGCAGCATTTTTTTTGTTTTGTTTTTTTTTTTTTATGAAAGTAGATCTTGCGTGATAAGTTCCGGGAATTTGCTCGCGAAACTGGGACTCATGGCCAGGAGCGAGTGGATGCTTTCAATCAGATCATCGATGTGCTGATTGAAGCCGGTCACAGCGAAGCGGCTACCATGGCTGAATGGAAGGACAGTATCAATGAGAGCTGGGCGGACTTGCTGGAACTCATCGACACCCGTGCTCAGCTTCTCACTGCCTCGTATGACCTGCTGAAGTAAGTCAGATGAAGGACAGTTTGCTTTTGCTATGTAACATGTGTAGATATTTGTTCTTTCAAGCAGCTAACATGGATAGTAGTGAGGCTGAATAACTGCAGATTTGTAAAGTCCTGGGTGATATATCGATAAAATACCGCATCACGATTATGAACATTCATATCATCCTTAATTTGAATGAGTATCGTGATATAGCCTAAACACTTGTTTTTTTTGAATAGTTACCAGTTACAATGCACTATTTTTACACCAATTCCATCAAGGTATGAGTCTGTTGCTGGTGTGATCTGTCATTGTACCTGTCACATGCTCCGCAACTATTAGTAAAAATTATGGTCATTATAATGAGAAAAACCTGTCAATTTTAAAATATTGTGACAAATATCAATATTGAGAAAGTCTCTGAAAATATCATGGTATCATTTTTAGGACATATCTCCCAGCCCTATTTATGCACTTGACTCTTTTTTTTTCTTCCCCTGTGCATTTTAGGTACTTCTACGATGGAAAGGAACTTGTGGCCCAGATCCGAGAGAAGCAAACTCAGCTGCCTGATGACGTGGGTGAGGATTTCAGCAAGGCTGAGTCCTTCCATCGCATGCACGCTGCCTTCGAGAGGGATATCAGTACCCTGGGAAAGCAGGTACAGATATGCAGCAGTACCAGACAGGGCACGCTCAGAACTTTACATATCACTTTTATCATTTGCCCTCTTGTATTTGATTTTCTTGCTTTCTTTGCTAGGTCTTTGATTAGAGTACCATTGCAGGCAGGCAGTCCTCAGGTTACGAACGAGATCCGTTCCCTAAGTCTGTCTTTAAGTTTAATTTGTAGTTAAGTCTTGAAAATAGTAATGCAATACGTAATAATAATAATTATACAGTAACAATAAAAGTAACCGCATACTGTACTATACTGTGCCTAAAGCCGATGAACTACTGAAACCACACAATGTTTTCACGAGCTTCACAAAGTAGTGAGTGCATTCATTATTGTGAAGCATTATATTTATCCCACATTATTATAGCCTATATGGGAGTCCGTTCGTAAGTATGAGCTGTGTGTAAGTCGAGCATTTAATCTTGGGACTGTCTATACCTTCTGTATATGTCTATTGTGTTAAGTATGACATCATTTGAACAAGTGGACAAAGTTTCAGACCTTCTTCATCTCAAATTCACACTCCCCTGGTTCTGTAGGTCCAGCAATTCCAGGAGACAGCGACCCGGCTACGTGCCCAGTATGCAGGAGAACAGGCCACCGCCATCCAGACCACAGAGCGTGAGGTGGTGGAAGCCTGGAAGACCCTGCTTGATGCCTGTGACGGGCGGCGGTCCCACCTGGTGGACACGGCGGACAAGTTCCGTTTCTTCACTACGGTGAGGGACCTGCTGGCCTGGATGGAGAGCATCATCCAGCAGATTGAGACGCAAGAGAAACCCCGGTGAGAAGTCAAGATGAAACACACATATATAACCAGAGGAAGAACGGGAATAGAGCAAGTGGCTGATTATGTGATGTGTACCTTCTCCCCTGCTTAGGGATGTCTCCTCAGTGGAGCTATTGATGAAATACCACCAGGGAATCCGCTCAGAGATCGACACCAGAAACCCCAAATATAATGCCTGTGTGGAGCTGGGACGTTCCCTCCTGGTGCGGCAGCATCGCGACTCCGCTGAGGTGAGGTTTTTGAAGGTCACGGGTCAAAGCTGCTTTGAATATGAATCTTGTGAATCTCGGTGGGGCTTAATTACGATCGTCTGTTTGCACAGATCAGAGATAAACTGGATCAGCTACTAGAAAAGAATAAAGAGATGATGACAAAGTGGGATGAGAGATGGGACTGGCTCAGACTCTGTGAGTTCTATACCGACTTTTACACATTTCTTTGTAGTTTCTCCAGATTTAGAACTTTGAGTCCGTAGAACTCAATAATATACACTTAGCGGCCAGCTGTGTAGCTGTACCTACAAGCTAATGCAGATAGGCTGCTCCTCCAAACAGTGAATCTTGTGGTTGCAACTGAATACAGCAGGCAGACTGGGTCAAGGGATTCATTTACTGTCCAGCTAAGCATTAGACTGGCATTAGACATCCGATCTAAGCAATTTTGAATGTGGTATGATTGTTGGCATCACAGATGGTGGTTCCAGTATCTCAGAAACTGCCAACCACCCGGGATTTTACAGAATGGCATGATGAGTGAAAAAGTCACAGCGTTTAATGTGGCTGAAAAAAACTTGTTTATGAGAGGTCACAGGAGGCTGGCCAGACTCATTAAAGCCAACAGGAAGGACACGAATGCGAAAGTAACAGTAGTATACAGACAGACGTCTCTGAACACACACATGCGCTGCACTCTCAGAAAAAAGGGTAAAAATTTGTACCTTTCCTTGTCACTGGGGCTGTAATTGTACCTTTTAAGGTACAGAAAGGGACTTAGAGAAACATCCCAAAGGTACGAACAGCATTAATGTACCATCAATGGTACAGAAATGTTCCTCGGAGTCCATTTCTGTACCTTAAAAGATACAGTTACTTACAGCTAAGGGTTCAGTTGGCAGGCGCTTGAGGGTACAGTCCCAGTGACAAGAAAAGGTACAAATTTTTACCCTTTTTTCTGAGAGTGTACCCTTGAAGCAGTTCTGGAGGCAGTAGTGAATGCAACACAGTATTAGCTAGGTGTACCTAATAAAATGGCCACTGAGTGTATAATGCTTCATAAAGGTTCTATCACTCGCCTCTGTGTTCTTCCCCAGTGCTGGAAGTGTGCCAGTTTGCACGAGATGCCTCCGTGGCAGAGGCTTGGTTGATTGCACAGGAGCCACATGTAGTGAGTAAGGAGGTTGGCCAGACTGTTGACGAAGTGGAGAAGTTGTTGAAGAGACATGAGGCCTTTGAAAAGTCCTCCGCCACGTGGGAGGAGCGTTTCGCCGCACTGGAACGCCTCACCACGGTCCGTGCGTGTTCTGTGTGTGCCAGTGTGACGGTTGTTCCTCATTTCAGCCATTCACAGCTGTGTGATCTAGAGTTGTATTGCCCTCCAGACTGTGCTATCTTTTGTGTGCATAAATTTTTGACTGCACCCCTTGGCTGCCTGTGTGTCTTAAAATATAACTGCATTTGTACGATACCCATACTGTTCTATATTTGTCCGCACATGTCAAATCTAGTAATCTTAGTGATTATCTGTGCATGATCTTCTGACATTCTCTGTGTAGTTCCCTGATTGTCTATATGGATGTGCACGCTTATTCATGAGATCTGTTGGGTCTCTCCAGTTGTGTGGTGTACTCGCTATTTGTGTGTGTGTGTGTGTGTGTGTGTGTGTGTGTGTGTATGATCTCTTGACTGTTTTTTTGTTGGTTAATGGTTTTTTGTGCATTCTCAGCTGGAACTGCTGGAGCTAAGAAAGCAGCAGCTAGACATGCAGAGTCAGCTGCAGGACAGCAGGTCAGCCCCCCCCCCCCCCAAAGAACACTCCATTCATGCACTTTCATCTTTGCCGTCTTGGTGGTGCTTTGTTTAGAAAAGAATTAGTTATGTGCAGTAACAGGGGTGGATTGTTCAGGTCCAGAAAGTAAAAATCCAGACCAAGATTTTGTTTCAACCAACCAGTTGAGTACTCTGTGACTGTGACTCTTTATGCTCAACTGGTTGGTTGAAATGAAACCTTGGTATGGATTTTTACTTTCTGGACCTGAACTATTCAGCTCTTCAACAGTGAGTTTACAGTTTGTAGCAGTGACGCGACAGTTTAATGCAAGGATGGGCCATCTTATCTAGAAAGGGCTGTTTTGTATGCAGGTTTTCGTTGCAACTCCCTAATTAGATTACTAATTAGAGGACTGATTTACTGAAGAGTCCTCACACCTGGGTTTGAACTGCTGACCTCAAGGTTATTCCTAAAACCTGCACACACACTGGTCCTTTGCGGATAAGACTGTCCATCATTGGTTTAATGGCGAAAACACGTTAAATTTAGAGGTATGCTCAGTATGATATATTGAAAGGCCGTACATTGCTTCTAGTAAGTTATATTTTATTTATTTTCTAAAGTTTTTTCAGTTCATTTAGCAGGATTTTTGCAGGCTTTGTTTTAGTTTGGTTGCATTTATTTTTCACTGCATTATATCCCATGCAAAAGAATTCACACTCTAAACATTGACTGCCCCCCCAGGAGAGAAGATACAGGGTTTGTGGAGGAGTCCTCCCCAATGGATACTGTGGAGGAGCCATCTCTGGTCAGTCCTGTGTTGTGTTTGGTGTTTTCATATGAACCTTGCTACAATGCATTATGTAATTATGCCGTATTATGTAATAACTTGACAAAATGTAACAAATTTTCACTTCGTTATGTACTATCACCCACATTATGTAATTATCTTTTGCATTTTACAATAGACAGCTTTAATGTCATATGTAATACATTTATGTAAAACATGGTGACCTTTACCTAGAATTCAGTGCGAACAGACCCTGCAGGCTCTGTTGAGTACATTTTTAAATTTGCAATCTTGAAGATTCACTAAGCTGATTCATAATACTCTTTTTGTTAACACAAATGACTTGATATTCTTTCCAAAAACGTCTGTAATTGTTACTTTGTGCCCCTGTCATGGTATCAGCTACTGTACCTTAGACCATGACCCTAATATTATATGATTTTATTCAAACTATGATGGATTTCTTTGTGGGTGAAATCAGAAATGTCTCCACATAAGTATTGATACAATTCATCTAGCTGACTTTATATACATAATAAACTTTATTACAAATTAATTTTTTTGGTAAATATTCATTATATGCGATATAAATTAAACTCGGTAATGTTCACAAAAGTTAAATTCCATACTGTGTGAAATGCACATTTATTTTCATTATTACTAACCAAAGTCAAGTGTGGGGCTTTGTCAAATAATTCAAATTAAAAATGTTAAATTGTCCAAATGACAGAATTAGGCCTTTTTTATAGCCAGTTCTTAGCTTAAATATAGTGCTACTTATGAAAACGATAAAGAAATCTAGATTTTGTGAAGACAACATTTATAATTGAAAGGTATTTGCGTGCATTGTCACTTACTGTACGTTTGTGTCTGTCACCAGTTTGCCCCAGTAGAACCCAGTCCTAGCCAGCGGGAGGGATCTGCTGAGGACACGACGGCAGCAGTGGTGTTGGAGGTCGACGAGAGCAGCCCTGGAGAAGAGCTTCAGAAGCTGACCAAGGAGACCAAGGAGGCGGCCACCCTCCCCGCAGGAGCACCGAAAGGCCAGGCCGTGATTTTGGAGGGGACCCTGGGCCGCAAGCATGAACTGGAGGCGACTGGAAAGAAAGCTTCCAACAGGTCTGAGTTCAGATTTTAGTGCTGTTTTCCTTAATATCAATGCTGTTATATTTGAGTGACCCAAGAGCAACTGCTGTGAACTACTTTTCTGTTTTTATTTCAAATATGGATGATACAGAATCTGAAGAGTTGACACATGAACACATTTAAGTCCGTTTTATATTAACATATATTAACAATTAGATAAACATGTGCTGGCATTTTATAGCAGGTGTAACAAAAAATACAAAATGATGTCGTTGTATAGATGATGTGTATTTGGGCAGTACAGCTGAATGCACGTCCAGGGCTGAAGGTTTGATTTCTGTCCTTAGCATTGTGTATATGGACTTACTCCCTTGTTTCCCAAGTTTCCCAAAACAAACCAGGCGAATCCCTAAATGGCGTGATTATGTGTGATGGTGTGGCCATGTGGCATCCCATCTAGAGTGTCCTTTGCCTCATGCTCCAGGTTCATCACAACCCTGATCTGTGGTTATGGGAAATAGATGAATATATTATACTAGGGCCGTGGGAATCGGGGGGGGGGGGGACAGGGGGGGGGACGTAGTACATGTGCCCCCCCAGTATATAATTTGGCTTCAGACGTCATCCCCCCCAGCATATAAAGACCTTGGTATTTAAATGATTACATTTGTCTGCCCCAATATCAAACTCCTTCCTAAGTCGTTATATTGTGCATTTACACACATATTACACACATTTATGTCAAAGGGCAATAGAATCTCTGGGGAATTTCATGCTACTGATGGTAGCTTAGAAGTTACTGACGAATTAACGTGTTTTTTATGTGTGTTTTTCAATCTGCTAGGTCCTGGAACAACTTACACTGCGTGCTGAAGCCGGGACAGTTGTCCGTCTACAAGGACGTTAAGAGCTTTGGTGTTGGTGTCACCTACCATGGGGAAGAACCCCTGACTCTCAGCAATGCCATTTGCGAGGTTCTGACCAGTTACAAGAAGAAGAAGCTGGTGTTCAAGCTGCGGTAAGAATCCAGCGTGAGAACCGAATGGAAATCCAACGATATCCATTCGTTTTCCGCAAGTAAATTTTTCATCTTGGTTTCCCTTTTACAGTTTAGCAGATGGGAGTGAGTATCTGTTTCAGTGTAAAGATGAGGTGAGTACACCTGACAATAATGCATGTTGGGGTGAAAGTAACACTAGCGTGACTGTGAGATGCTTTACCTGAATGAGATGGCAGCAGCCAACGATCGTCTCAGTGCAAAGCTCAGTTACACCTAGGTCACCACGAGTAACTGTTTCACTAAATGACCTGGGGTGAGTTTCCCAAAGCCTTCTTAACGCTACGTCGTTCGTTAGTTCTATCTTTTAACACAGAACTTAAGAACGACGTAGCGTTAAGAACGCTTCGGGAAACTCACCCCTGGTCATTGAATGGAATTCAGTCGTTAAACAAGGAATGGATGTACTGTATAGGGTAACAAACTATGATAAAAGTGTGCATTATTTTTTAGTTTTATTATTTAAGTGAGCATGAATACTAACAAAAACATAAACATTTAACATGAGCTGCAGGCATTAATAGTAGCATCTACATAGAAGGTGGATTTTTCTGGTTCTCTTGCAGGAAGATCTCCTGAGCTGGACCCAGGCAATCGAAGGAGCAGTGATGCCTCAGGAGGAGGACGAGGACGCAGGGCCATCAGATGCGCTGACAGGCAGCCTGCCGCTTCCGTCTTCCTCCACACTCCAGGAACCCAGCTCTGACAAAAAAGACAAGGAGAAGAGATTTCGCCTTTTCGCCAAAAAGAAATGAGACAAGGGATGTTCATACGATGGCTTGGTCACCCAAGATGATCTGGATAATGTTCATACGATGGCCTGGTCACCCAAGATGATCTGGATATCTGGGCAGCAAAAGACAAAAAGCTGTTTATCACCAGGTCATTCATTCTGTCCCCACCTTTATTCATGGTAACAATTATAAAGCTTTAAGAAAACAAAAATGGCATTAATTGGGAATGAATAGCACACTATTCTTGTCTGCACTGAGGTATGCCTGATGCTGTGGTACACCTGATATGTCTTTTTTAATTACATGCAGTAATTTACTTTGTAACCAAAAAAATATATATTATTAACCAAAGAATGTTTATAGATTTTTTTTTGTTTTTTTTTTTTTGCTTCTGTTCTATTTTGGCATGCTTCAAGTTGTTTATAATATGTGTTAGAAACTTAGGACATTTTGTTTTGTTTATTTTCCTTCTTCATATAAAGCAGGGTTCTTCAACTCTGGACCTCGATTCCAAATCCAGGCCTTGTTTTCAGTTCCCCGCAGGTAGTTGTTTAATAATTACTGATTCTGATTGGTCAGAGGCTTCACACCTGACTGACAGGTAAAGGAAGGCTGGAAAACCAGCAGTGCTCGGACCTCGAGGACCGTGAGTTGAATAACCCTGATATAAAGAAATGGTTGTGAATTATAATACTGTGCAGCTGGCATCAGAATATTTTATTACAGCCTGGGAGCTGGCTGAGATTTAGTTTTGTATATGCTGGTTTTAATTGGATGGTATAGTTTTGCTGATGGAGAGTTGACCCTGAAGCTGTATAGTACTGTATACTGCAGCCATAAACATGCAGGGTGATGGCTCTATGCAGGTGGCTGGGCTATTCACACTACCAAAACTGAGAATCACACTGTGATACTGAGATGATGCTGTTTTAAAATTGCATCATGAAAGATACCAAATAATGCCATAAATTAAATTACTAAAACCAAATAAGTATTTCGACAGCAATTGAAATAAATCCATAACTGGATCATCCTTTTTTAAAGACATTAAATACAGCACTCCTATTTTTGGGGAAAAAAATATGTATGCTTTGTCAAATATGGTGCTATTTTTGACGCTAAAAAAGTCAAAAACCTGTTTCCAGAGTGACATCTCTTTGGTTCTCGGTTGACTCTTTGCTTCAAAGCACCCATCCACCCAATCCCCCTCCCACCCAGCCAGCCAGACCTCTCTGTTAACCCGTATCCCAGAGAAATCAAACAGTATGCAAAGCAATCTGGATGTGAGGGTAACCTTGTAAAAAAGCTGTAAAAGGAAGGGATGGATGGATGTGACACTTTGTACATCTAGTATTTATTTTCCAAAATGTGATTTTAATGCTTGCACACTTAAATATTGTTTCTATGCTGAGAGAAACCATGCAGTGCAAATTCGCTTTTAGTCAGACTGAAATATATACATATATATAAGGAAATGGATTTTTATTAGTTTTGTTGTATTTATAATTATTTGCAAACTAAAGTATAGCTGATTTATTTTTCAGTTGTATAGGGCAGTTGTGTCCACCGGGTGTTCCCATTTCATCACTATGGTCGCCTTACTTCACTGTCACAAAATGCTATCGCCACCAATGTCTTTAAGCACAGTCAAGCCTTTAGATTTTCTTTGGCATGCATAAGGATGAGTACATTTTTGATGCCTTCAGCCATTTTATTTGCATATCTTTTCTTTGCGTAAGCTAATGATATTTTTATTAGTATTTTATACTCCATAGCTAGAAACAGACACTGGTCTGGCATTTTGAGAACTGATCCTGAAACAGAAACAATAAAACAAGCACTTGGGAGTAACTTTTGTTTTACCGTTTACCTGAAGCAATACCTGCCTTGTATTTCAAAAAGGCCTTTTGTTTAAACCTTTCACTTTCATTATAATTTGAATTGAGGCATATGCAAAAACAAACAAACAAAAAAACAGGTTCAAAGATTTCCCTTGATAACTGAAGTACTGGTTCCATATATTCAATGTTTTCTGTTCTTCATTCCTCAGTTATTGGACTGTCATACAAGCGAAAATCAATGGTCATTAATTCCCATCTGCATGGCAGATAAACTGTTCATCACTAATATAAAATACTTCAGGACATTAATTTATTGTAAAAAAGTAACAGGTTTTTAATTAACTGCAAAATACAGTGGGATAAGTGGAACAGAAAATACACGAGGAGATGTAGTTAGGTATTTTAAATTCTGTGAAATTAGGGGAACTCTGGAGCCTTGACTGCTTCCAGTTGCCCACAAAAAACATCCAGGCCAATTACTTTCAAAATTTTTTGTAAAGAGCAATCAATTACAAATGCAATAAACTCTTATTATTCAAGAAATTTCCAAATATACCCAAGTAATATGCAAGGATGAGATATTTAAGCCGAAAAAAAAACAATTTGAATACTTTATTAATATATTTAGAACTTTATACTTAACAAGGAGGCAGAAATGCTAATTTATAAAGTGAAGAAAAATTAAATATGAACAAACAGCTTATATAAAAACAATATTCACATACTGAATTCTAAAATGACCTAAATTACTTGCATCATATGCAAACTGCTGACATCGAGCACGTAATTACATAATTATGGCTAGTTATGGCTACCTCAATTGACAAATGGCTGTAAAAATTAAACAATTGGCATCTTTTACAATCAGCTGGCCCAAGATCAGATTATGTTTCATTTTAGTCATACATGATTGCGATTGCATTACGCAGGGTTATTAACACATAGAATGAAAGGAACCTAATTAATTTTAAAATTCAGCTTTTCAGGGATGATCTCTCAGTCACACGAAGGAAACATGCTGGTACACGGCTGTTACAACACAGCCCCATTCCACCACCTGGGGTTTCTTCATCAGCAAATTATTTTCATACAATTACCTCCAGATATTCTACATTCTGTATCAAATTAAGGAGGTCTACCATCTTAGACGAGACTAGTTCACAAACATTTGGAACATATGACATTTTATTAAGACAATGGCAACTGAATTTAAACTAAAATATGTGATAAAAACAATATCACTTATGAGGTTGTAAAGATATACAGCATGTGGTCAAATAAGGCCTGTACAAGCAAAGGAACAATGGATAAACAAATAAAATCAGGTTTGTTACCCTCTTTCACAGTGAGCTTGTTCAGTAAAGGCTTCATAATGGAACAATGCTATGACTGTATTGCTAGTACAGTATAGCCATGCAAATCAAACAGAAATAAGCCTTCAAAGCACAGAATGGAGGCTGACCACACAGGACGGAAAGTTATACAACTGTCCAAATTTGAAACAATTTAAAAGTTACATTATTAGAATCGGACAATACTCCATATTGCAGACTAACCATTTTGGCAATAAGAGCAAGAAAGAACCACTTAATTGCACATCATCATTTTAATACCCATCCATCTCTCTTCTAACCACTTACTCTGGTCAGAGTCATAGGGATCACTGTGACATTTTACTTGAAATAAAAACTATGCGAGTTTAACCACTACACAAAAAAAGAATGATGAATGATATGATTAGAAACATGTTTTAAGTTCCATTCCATTTTAGAAGTTAAGGAAACATTGGACTTAAAACAACCCTGAATTTTCCACGTTATTCAGAATGATAAGGTAACATTTGGCGGGAGCAGGTTTCTTCAGGGCCTGACACCATACCACATAAACCTCTCTCTTTGCCCAAGACAAAACTGTTTATGAGCTAGATGGATGAGAGATAAAATGGGGAGCTGGTAATGGAAGAGAGAACAATCTGTTCTGTACTCTATTTGATGAGTTTGTTGGCTCTCTGGTTTGCGTCATCAATGCGTGCCTTATTAATCTCAGCCTGGAAGAAGGAATAAAATGGTAGATTGTAATATCCCATGACCTCACATGGCAGTTTTCTTTGCATGAAGTGAAGTTTACTACAAGCGGCAGCCCAACCTTGTCGGTAATGCGGTCGATCTGTTTGTTCTGCTTATCGATCTCCGTGCCCATGTCGACGGCCAAGGACTTCAGGTTATCGATGATATTTCCCACCTGACCCAAGTTTTCCTCCATCTCGTCCTCCCGAGCATCATTGGTTATCCTATGAAAGACACCAAAGATGACGTCTCAGAAGTGCATCCCAACTGAACTCAGTGCATATTACGTGCTCCTCTATTCATTGCTGTGACCCACCTCTTTATGTATGGCCCTGAAGGTGCTGCGGAGGTAGGCATGCCGTTGTGGATTCTGGGGGGCTGGCTGGACAAAACTGCAGGATTCCCCCCATCGACTGCATCTGCATTGGGGCCGCCGGCATTGTCGATGCCAAGGCCCCAGGTCTGCCTGTACCTTGAATCATGTTCAATCGACGCCACTCTGAGAAACAGATGCTTAGTTTTACATTCTGATGGAGAAGTATATTCACTGTTTAATAACTGCTGTCCTTTCAGGTCTCATAATGAATCCATTAGCCCTAAAGTTATCTATAACAATCTATAACCAGATTGCTACAGATTTACCACTTATGTAAAAAACAAACTTCATTTATCAAGTAAACATCAGTTAAACTATCTATATAAAAGAGCATAAGTTTTGTTTGAAAATTGGGCGTGTGAGGTCATTATAACATAAGATGGACAAATTAGAACATACCTATTCCAGGGGCACACACACAAGCCACAGCACTTGGACAGGTCACTCAGATCCTTCTCAGCCTTGTGCATGTCCTGGTTGATTTGGTCCATGCCTTGTTCTACACTCTTGAGTTGCTCTAAGAAAAAGGCAGAAAAGATAGACAGGCTACTGAGCCCAGTGGTTATTTTGGGGGAAGCAAAGGGTATTGTGCAAAATGAACCACTCACCACCCTGTTCATCCAACATGGTCACGGTGTTGACCCCCGTCTCTCTGCTCTGCGTATGACGGAGGCATGGGCAAAAGCCAATCAACGATCACAAAACCCACCAGCACAAGATTCACATGGAACAAACGCATTATATATAACCTCACCATAGGCAAAAAAGGAGTCTGGTAAACTGATTACATCAATCTGTAATGGATACTGTCTGGTATAATCCATTTCACGGTCGCCATCTTTGGTCAGCTGGCTGGCGTGAGATTTTCAATTTGAGACAAATCTGCACACATATGCACACTCATTTACATGTATGCAACACTTTTGTTAATAGTCTGAAGGGTTTGCATACCGCCCTAACACTTTTGATGTAGCTAATTTTAGGTTTCTAATCAGGGGTGCAGATAACTGGTACGCAAGTACGCATTCACCTTTAAGAACGACAATAAAATAATATATATAATATAACATATAATATAAAATAAAATAAGTACGCATTTGCGCTTTTACAAACAATCGATTGTCGCACATATTCTTAAAGGTGAATGCGTACCTGCGTGCCAGTTATCCGCACCCCTGTTTATAATGGAATGGCATCAATTTGCCGTAAGATTTCTTGCGAGAGTGTGAGAGTCTGAAAGCGCGAATGTCATGCCCGATGCATGAGAGTTGGCAACCCTGGCATTTCTCACCTCCTCTGCCAACCGCAGCATTCTTCTTGTGCTCTCCAGTGACTGAAAGACAGAAGTATATAATTAATTCAAGGAGTCTTTTTCAGAGTCACAGTATTCTCAACACAAAGGTTCATGCACATGCACAAGACTCACAGAACACTCGGCCAGACTCGGCCATCACAGAATACAATGAGGGGTTTTGAGGTGATCAATTATAGGCATAATCTAAAAATGTATATGCAAGTGTGATTATGGCTTAAAGGATATTCAGTAACAACAACTGCAAATTAATCATTTTTTGTTCTAGGGAAGGATTTAAGATAGAAATGTCTATACATTTTTTACTGTCAACCACTTTGAAAACAGTCTTGATTCATCTGATTGGTTGGTCTGTTTGAATTATTACAGCAAAATAGAATGGAGTGTTGCCAGTGGAATGTGGTCTGTACTGGAGTGATGCTATAATTATCACTACGGAATGGATGAAGGTATGAACAAGCAGTTATAGTTTTGAGTAGAGGTGGAGATTTCAGGTGCAGAGAGTACAAATCCAGACCAAATTATCAAAAAACATCCTTCTATAAAACAACACAGACTACTCGGTAGAAGGCATTGTTAAGTTCTTAGCCCTAATAAAAAAGATACATGCAGATGAGGTATACAGCAAATTGTTTTCTGAGCATGTGAAGAAGATGAGTGATGAGAATGGGAAGTAGAGCGTTCTACTCTACCAGCAGGGGGAGTTTTGTTTACTAACAGTCAAACTGTTTACCCTGTGTCACGCCACAGTGCTGAAGTGTTACCATTTAGCAGCCGGGGGTCCTGGAACACCTTTTCCCAGTATACTGTCACGCACATAGCCGGCAAGCGACTGCCAGTCAGTAAGGGGTTCTCATCCCACCCATGGGTGCAGAGGAAGGAGGAGAGGAAGGGCAGAGGCAGACAGTTTGAGCAAAAGATGAGTCTGACAGAGTTCGGCAAAGCGGCTTAGCATACTTTAGGCATTATTTCCCCAAAGGCTTAACAAAGCCATGGATCTAAATAATTGTTTAGCCTGTGTCATGCCTGTGAGATTGAAATAAAGCCGCACGCCCTCAAAGAAAGCATTACCTCATCTGTGACCTGGTTAGCTCGCGCAGTGATCTCTTCCGCTGTCATTTCTGCCATGTTTTTGCTACTGGTCTCGTTAGGGAATTTCTCCAAATCCAACCACCTCAATTCTCTGTGGTCTGTAGAGGCCAGGGAAAAAAAATGCAAGTACTGAAATTTCCTAGAAAACAGTGTGTTAATGAGTGTTAATTCCCAACTTCAACATGTCACATATACTAGATGGAACATTAAGTGCATTATAACAGAGAAGCAGCAAAAAAAAATAAAATAAAAACTTTCTCAACTTTGTGGTATGCATGTCACACATTTCTACACAAGGAAGTAGCAGCAAGGAAATAATGATCATGTGACTTAGCTACTTCTTATTTTGCAGGCTGATGCACTGTTGCTTAAATGATAAAGATACAAAGTAAGATATCTGCAAACATGATAAAATAATGAAATGCCCAAATATCAGTCAACGAAACCAAGAAAATATGCATATGACTGCGTTTCCATAGTAAAACATTAGATTTCAAGATTCAAGATTGTTTAATTGTCACGTACTGTTGCATGGACAAAATATTGTTCAGTATCTTTTTGTCCTACAACCACTACATATCGGGCAGGCATGAAAGTGGTCAGTGAGATAAACTCTAACCTAGAGGCTGCTTGTCAAGCCCCTGAATATAGTCAACGTGATATTTCCAGCAGAATATCCTGTGTAAACAGGTGAAAGTGGTAAACTGTTCGTATGTAATGTTTTAGGCTTCCTTTGATGGGGGACAAGACCAATCAGTCAATATATTTCTTCCTGTGTTCGGATCAACTGCTCAAAAAGAGTGAGCACAAGAAAAGCATACAACTTTCTTTAGTAATCATGTTTTAATACAACACTCCTGAACTGCTGCTTCTAACGATACAAGCAACAAAAAAAACTGTCATTGAGAGCTGCACTAACAGTAAACACTCAGCTATCACACCACGAACACCTCTAACATTAGCAAATCATCTATGACACAACAGCGCACCCCCCACCCCCATCAGACAAAAGTCAGACTTTGCAAAACCAGCTTCAGAGACTTACTGCTCCCCCACTACAGAAATTCAGATCCAGCTCTTCCTCCCAAACCAGTTCTGCCAGTTTATATTGCACAAGGCCACTGCTCCCTCCCTCACTTGATGTTAGATGGTGGACTCTCGTGGTATGGATCCAATGCATTCATCATACAACGTATGTCTTTATGTCCTAGAACATTTTGTATTATATTAAATTACCTTTTTCACCTAAAATGTTATTCTGGCATACAGATCTAGGAACGCTTAGACAAGCAAAGAAAATTGTTAGACAAATAATAAAGAGCAGAATTAATCCAAGATATTGGCTTTAAACTTACATTTCTAATGTATAGAGCTAAGTATAGCGTTTAGGTGTCTTTCATGAAACTTAATATTAATAAAACGTCAATAATGTTTTTTTACTTATTAGTGAAAGAGACACGTTTCCTTCATCAGACTAGCTTCATCCAGGATTCTATGTACGTACCATTTCTAATATTGAACATCAGTGCAGCTAAATAAAGGCTTACTTTAAGTAAACCGGTTTTTAGGTCCTATTAATGTTGTTTATATTCACAGTATCAACCCATCTTCCAACCAGTCATGCTGGTCAGGGTCACGAGTCATATTCATATTAGTACTGTATCAGAAATATTTCAATATTTGTCTTTTTTTTCCTTGCAGCCCGACTGCGTCATTTGAACATAAAATTCAGCTGACCGAGAAACTAATTAACTAAAGTCTCATGATTATCACACTAGTGCTATACAGTACAGTACGTCTGTTAGCTGAAGATACTGGGTGCAAACAATTCTGGGTTTTGGTGAACAAATGTCGTGTAGGCTTTATGATTTGCCTTCTATTAAAATGTACTATTGTCACTCATTAGCGAAGTTCTTCCTACCTCCTGGCACCACGCACCCAGTAAACAGCCAGCATGACACCTTACCCGACCCAAATGATAAGTTATATAGTTACTGGTTAGGCTAAATATGATTAGTAATCGGCACGCCAGAAAACAATGACACCTTACAAAAATCACCGGTTGTTACTGTCCCCTCACCGTAATGTAGCGTTAAAATACCCAAACTAAGCTACTGTGTTATCACCCTACCATAGGAAATTGACTTCCTTTCTCTAGAGGTTGTTTCGCTAGATAGGGAGCTAGAAAGTCAGCGAGCTAACAGCGGCTGTCGTACAGTTTCCCTTACGAGAACGGAAAATAAAGCAGCTACAAAAAAAAGGTTATTCTTTGTAACTGACATGAAATTAAGAAACAGCAGAGACATGTTAAAAGTTACTCACAAAACGAGAGCGCGCGTTAACACTGCGCGGAGGCTCCCAGCTGGCGGCGCGTGCTCCTGGCGGATTCCGTCGCTTAGCTGTGGATTGCGCATGCGTGATTAAACAGCTGGACGGACTGAGTGCCTGCGGTCTGTCTGCCTGACCCTCCCCGCGCTCAGGTACCGATCTAGGCAGCCCCCTCATGTACCCTCACAGCTCTACCAATTGTACCCTAGCTGCAGGTGAATGTGCCTTTTAAGGTACAAAATTCAACTCTGATAAATATTTTTGTGCCATTGGGGGTACATTATTGTTGTTTGTACCTTGGGGAACAAACCTGTACCCGGGCTGTATCCTTATTTCTAACAGTGCATATGCAACTTAAAATACTAAATATATTGATATTTAAGAATAGTTAACATGTGTCACCATTACACACAATAGCTTCGTAGTGTGATTCCGGACGTACTCCAGAATATGTAGAATACCCCTTGTTAAACATTTCGATTTGAATTTCGATTTATTCTAATGACATGCATACTCCCTTTATTTGATTTTTTTTTCTGCATAATTTAGAACAAATGTCAATTTATCATTTAGAAAAAAAAATGTTAAATGAGCCAGAAGACAAGAGTAGTAATAAACTTATGGATGAATAGTAGCGCGTGCATTATCCTATGTCGATGCGGAATAAATTCCCTGAAAACCATATTTAAGTATAATTATATTCAAATTAGTCTACTACTTGTTGTCGTAATAGACATTCTAAATGTATTATGTGAGAATTTGTTAAACAATTAACCTAAGTTCATAAAATTAATACATTCATTTTGGCTTAAGTACAGCAAATGCCTTAACGCAACACCAGATATACAGGCTATCAACTAAACACCATTGCGGCAGTTCTCCGCGCCCTCTAGAGGACAATAAATTACTGTTACATTTGCTGACGTATGTGTGAAAAGCTGGGTTTGTCTGGAAAGACAAGAAATATGAAATGTGTGACATCTAACATTGTGTTAGTGTTGAGGTATACACCAGACTATTATTGATTTTCGTGAGCTAATTTATATATTTTAGTGATTTGCATTGATGGATCTTTGCCTTGTATCTAAGTCAGGGTGCATGGAGGTCTGGGTCCTAAGCATAGCAGCCCTGTACACAAGCTTGTGGTATATTAGGCCATCACAAGGAACCATACACTACAGGCTTTTCTAGAGACCTATATGCTGTGAACCCTTCATATATTAAGACGTAGGATCTAATGAGTTGTATTTGTATAAAACCAAAAATCTTGTCTGTATGCCCTGCATATATGAACCCGTTAAGTTACTATACCCAATTATCAAATTACTCCAAAACCAACTGTACATACTATGACGGAGTGTAAATATGCAGACCTCGATCTGTTATTTCACTGCAGTTGACAGCTGCATTTTAACATTACAAACTGACTAATTGAACATCTAACCCCATAATCAGAATCAGCTTTAAATAGCTGGTATACACATTAAATAGGTTCAAAACGTAACCCTAGAATAGCTGCTGTATATGTGTACCCACCTACGCAAGTTATCTTTAAAGTGGGCTTTTAACAGTTCACAGCAGACGCGTTTGCCAATCCACAGCTGGACCGCGTCTGTGGCTTGCAGACCTTTTCTATATGCGTTTGAAAAACAGTGAGTAACACCAACACCAACTAAGCAGCCTGAACCTATAAGTGCCCATCAGCTCTGTATTATTTCTTTCATAACTACACAAGTTACAAAACAAGCAGCTTACAATTTAAAGCACAGGATTGGTCAAATGAAAATTCAGGGTCGCTAGATTCCGCCTACTTTGGGCAATATTGACCAATGAGCTTTCAGATAATTTAGCGGTTCAGGCTCCACTGCAAGTACTGTACTGAAGGACGCGATGTTACGCATACAGCGTATTATTAGAGCAGGGGAAAAACAATAAACATAAGCATGGATTAATACAGGTACGCCTCTTTAGTCTTAACCGCTTGCATGCAGGCATGCTAAGCATTCAGACAAAAATGTTCTTTACCGCAAAGGGAAGAAATTGCCCAAGAGGGCGTATGCTAACTATTAAACTTGGCTGGTTGCGGATGCTCCATCAATTACAAGGTAGACAGTACAGCTGGATAGGTAGTAATAGTTTGTTTCGTTTGGGAACAATTCGTTAGCTTATCACGAGCATTGTTTGAATTTTAGGAAATTCCATCTATCCATCCCGTAAATAGCTATTTTATCAGATTTCTTCATTAAAGTCGTATTGAATGTGTAATTATTATGATTACGTATAGCACACTTACCAATTAGCAAGCGTAAACATACACCGTCATAGATGCGGGAACCTATCTTTCCACTCTTTATATAAAATTTGCATTTATCCGAGACTGCAGTTTTTATAGCTACTGTACACGTTATGCATTCGCTAGGTGGCGCTGAAGACCTCCCTTTGAACGCGTTATATACACATCCTGGTATTTGTCCTTAACTATACTGACCTTTTAACCGGGGGCTACTCAAAGTCAAATGATGCCTAATACCCAACAAGACTAACCATTGACGACACTGACCAAGAAGCTATACAGAGCAGAGCTATATGTAAATTACTGTGTTTTTCTCAATTATGGGAAAATCCAATAATTAAGTATTTCTTTGTGCGCTTTTTTCTGTATATTGACGAACTTAATACGTCAGCCCTGGAACAGCAGTACTATCCTCAGCATTGACCGTTTATCTGAAAGATAAAAGAATGAAAGATTCTACAGTCTGTTTTGAAGGTATGATCCAACCCTGCAAACCTCTTTTTTGTCCAAAGCTACTAACCCTATATTGCTACAAACAGAAGCAACGATTTTACTAACCTATTGATTTCGTGCTTGTAGGTTGACCTTTGTTATAAATTTACAGCTGTACTTGTTTGCAGTGACCCTCATCTTTTTGGAGAGAAACATCTAACTAATAAATAAGTTTAAATGTAAAACAAAAGAATGGCTGCAGAGGGTAGTTTTACACATTTGTATGTAATGTGTCGTATTACTTTTCCAAGCTAATTGTGGTTGCAGAATTTGGCTCCTTGGTTCTTTTTTTTAATGTATACTTTTAATCCCAGTTAAGTTAGTTGCATATAAAACATGACCCAGCTTTTTAAGTGAGAATTCCAAGACCACCAAAAACCAGATATGGGTTAGGGTACAGTGCGACTTGGCATAAAGGGCGTGAAACACTTTTGTCTGTGAGTCATGTGGCCTTTCTGGCTGTAACCTGACCAAGCCCCGGGCCCTAGTGATACAGCAGTATTTGTTGATCAGATGAGCAGTATTTTGAGTTGTATCAGTGGGTTGCCCACATGCCCTTAGGCTGGGAAGCTATGAGGAATTTTGGCACAGTACTTCTTCTCTGAATCTCCTCAGAAAGCCTTGCTGTCTTGGTGGGCAAGCAGAGAAATGAGGAATAAGCATTGTTGTGTGATTTGAGGTTCTCGTGGATTGTACTGTTGCTTGTCTGTTAGGCATTTTTGTCTTCTAAAATGGGGTTCTGAAGAAATTTAGCCTAATGATCAAAGGTACAACAACGTGCCCTCAGCTAGGACAGCTATATATTTCAGCCAGAAGTGCAGAACTAGTAACTTTGCCTAGAAACAACCTAATATTTCAGTAATTACAGCGATCTTCTTGACTGTTGCAGGTATAACTTTTATCTTGATTTGAGGTTATGGTTAAATACAGCAGCAGGTCATGCTGTGGGGGTCATGCACAGTTCGGGGTTTATTTTATGACACAGAGCAAAGAGGTCTTTGAGATTTTTGGCTTGTTTACAGGACTTGCAGCCTGCTTTTTCGAGTGGGCTTGAATTAGCTGGTTGTCCACTGTGGGCTGTCCTCTGACTTATGGCCCCAGGATAGTGTCTGGATGGAATCAGGCCTGGGGAGGCGGGGAAATGAGGCTACATTTGATCAGTTGAGTACAGGGGCTCAACTTACATTGGCTCCCCTTCTGGGTAAATACCTTATCTATGCTGCTGATAAATTCAGCTGTTTTGACCAGGAAAGAAAGTAAAATTTTGAGTTAACTCTATCTCACACTGAAAAATTCATTTTATTCTAGAGAAATATAAAAAATAAAAATATATGTATTTGTGCTGTCCCGTAGAAATTCTTATGAACAAATTCGTAGTTGAAGCATGTTCCCATTTGTATTTTACTATATTAGGTTCATCTGGATGTTTATGAACTCTTACGCGATTATCCACGACTTCTGGTTTCACTGGCGTGTTGACTTTCATAAATCAGGCAGCAGCTGTAAAAGCATATTTATCCACACACCTGACAAAGCTCATATCCACACACCTGACAAAGCTCATATCCACACACCTGACAAAGCTCATATCCACACACCTGACAAAGCTCATATCCAGCTGCAGAAGTCTCTTCACACACCACCTAGCGAATCTCTCTGGCAGACCTTTGCACTCCTAATCTCTCTTTTGAGTTTTCAATCCCACAGTGACAAGATTAGAGACATTCTGAAGATGGAATGTTCCAGACTTGCACCAAAACACTTTTGTATACAGAGGCAGAAGTAAATTATGGCCGTATTGTCCATTGGGATTCTCCTGTGTTGCTCATCAGTGCGTCATGTATGATTGTATTGATGTGGACAAACTATGATCAGTAGTTGAAGTAATCCGTGATCCAGTAAGCCATGGTGTCCTCACTTAGTCCTGACTCCCCCCCCCCCCAACAGGGAAGGCTAGAAGATCTAGGATTTGAATTCTATCTCCTGCAGAGTAATCATATCACCCACTTACTCCACGGAGGCGGGCTGACCCCTGCTCTCTGACCCTAAGCTTTAAACAAAACATCTGCTAAATAAATTAAGTGTAAATAATTAAGTGTTAATTAAATTAAGTGTAACGAGGAGAATCCTCTCAATGTCCAAATGTGAGTAGGTTTTGTAAAACAGGTACAATGATGGTATCTTCCACACCTATGTATTTTTGGTATGCAACCTGTAGTGGATCTTGTCCTTCAGGGGTGTTCTGAGATGCTGAAGATCTCAAATGTATTAATTATATGGGATGTTAGTCCTACAGATCTGTAGTCATTCAGCCCTGCAGTGGTTCACCAAAACATGACTAAAAATAAAGTGTAAAACCTGTCAAAAAGCAGGTTTAATGTGTCTGCTCACTCGTGGTCCCATCAAGGTCATTCATCTTGCAGCCTGTGATGTTCCTCACACGTTTCCATTCATTCTTCATTCTGGTATTTTCCAGCTCACATTATTTTCTCCTCATGTCCCATTTTCTCCTCTCTGGCTATCTTCCTCAGCTTCTTCTGTATTGACCTGACCTGTTCCTTGTCTTCCATCAGGAAAGTCTTATAGTGATTCCAAAGTTTGCTTATTCTGATTTATTTAAAAGGGCCCTATTATGCCCATTTTCACTCTTGATGATTTTGTTTTTGGGGTCTACTAGAATAGATTTACATGCATCAATGTTCCAATACCATACTGTACTCTCATACCGTACATCTCTATTCACTCTGTCTATAACACTGTCTGAAATGCTCTGTTAGAGCTTTAAGCCCCACCCCTGATGAGCCCAGCATGCTATGATTGGTCAGCTTGCCCTACATGTTACACCATTATTTTGCAGTCTGCAGACAGATCCTTGTGGGTAGGCAGCCAATAAGGATTGTGTTACGAGGTGACCTCACCGGGTCAGGGAAGTAAGGGCTGGAATTCCAATCAGGCATTTCAGGCAGATTAGAGGAGAGTGGTTTCTGTGGTGAGAGTTACTCCCTTTGGAGTGAACTTGGGCCATGAGACACTGCAGACCACTTACATGCATATAAAGCTATATAACAGTGGTCTTCACTACGCAGCGCCTGGAGGCCAATGTGGTGGCCTGTAACTGAGTAAATAAATAAGCAAATTATAACTTGCAGCTAAGTAGTTAACTAACAATCAAGTGAAGCAGCATCAAGATGACTTCCAGCTAACTAGCTTTTAAAAAATGAATGGTGGCCCCCGGGCCACCTCTATGCTGGTAAGCGTGGCCCTCACCTAAAATTCAGTGAAGAACACTGCTGTATAACACTAAACGAAAGGGATAAAAAGGGAAAAACAGTACAGGGCACCTTTGAGTTACTCAGACGATATTCATAATGGTGTATTCATCAGAAGCACATATTTGAAAGGCACTACCTGTTGTGTCCTGAGATACATGGAGTCTTCTTGCTAAGGCAGACTCAAGAGTACAAGTTACACCCAGAAGACCTGGGTTTCAGTTGCTTCTATTTCTGCGAGCCCAGCCACTGGCCGTAAAACTGAACTCTCAAGGACAGTGACAGTGAAAGGCAGCATGTGAAAACAGTGAGATCTGAAAGACTGCAGTCAAAAAGGGGAAACTGGCGATTTCAAAACCAACTGTTTGTTGTATTGAAGGAATCCTTTTAAACATTTGGAAATAATATTAATAGCTATAAGAAAAGAATGTGTAACAGAATTGACTAACCAGTACATAAATATGTTAATTGTAGTAATTTGTGATTTTAAATAAAATGTTGACAAAAGAATAATTGTATTTCCAAGATAATGGTTTAAAAATATTTATTTCACTAAGCAGGAATGTGTGTCCTGATGCAAATTTCGTTTATTACAACCATCACATTGTATATTGCAGAAATGATATTGTGTTTTTAAGCTTTTGTTTCTATCTTGTGTTTTTCTCCCTTTAGTAATGGTGTGATGTCCAATCAGCAGGCCCAGAATGGAGAGGGAAAGGATGTGCATCCTCTGTCACATTGTCTACAATTCAAAGCAGGTAAGCGGCCATGTTTTTTTTAATTTGAGATGTGTGCAGTGCATTATGGGAGGCTGCCTTCAGTGTTCCTGCTGAGAGCCAGAATTGAGTCACACTGGTTGTTTCCCTTCATCCTAACAGGAAATGGATGAGCACATGAGGAGCATGTTGCACCACCGTGAGCTTGAGAGCCTCAAGGGCCGGTGAGCACCCGTCCTGTATACCTTTGGTATATGCCGTCAGAAAAAAATTTACCAATTTGTTCTTTTGAGGGTACAGTTACTTGTCACTGGGGCTGTACCCTCAAGGGCCTGCCAATTGTACGCTAGCTGTAGGTAAATGTACCTTTTAAGATGTAGAAATGGACTCTTTGGGGGGGGCATACTAATGCACCATTGGGGGGCGCATTAATGTTGTTTGTACCTTGGGGTACAAAAGTATACCAGGCTGTACCCTTTTTTCTGACAGTGCATGTGCAAAAATATATACATTATGCACATTTTCATGTAAGCATTTGAGGTCATTTCCAAATGACCGTTATATTAATGGAATTCATGAGGCCTCAACTGGTCCAGACAGAACTGTTTTTGGCTTTTTATTTTTATTATTAATCAGCATTGTGAATTAAGCACAAGTGTGTATTGTACTCAGAGAGAGAGACACACACACATATACAGGTGAAAGTAAAGCCTGGGGTCAGGGCACAGGGTCAGCTGCCTGGTCTCCCTGGGACACTTTCCTGGGTTAAGGGCTTTGCCCAAGGCCTCAGTGCTGTTGTGATCAGTCTGCTGTCCATAGAGGTCAAAACAGTGACCTTCTGATCACAAGGCATAACCTGCAGAGGCCCACAGTGATATTAAAAAGTGACTGAATTAGAAAATAAAACAGAAAAAATGGCATCCATATAAATACCCCTTTTGTACGTGATTTAAGGAACAGCTTTCATAAAACATCCCCACAAAAATGAAGGCATCCTGTTAGCACACAATGTGTCAGTGTATTACATTATAATATTACAGTTTGCTTTTATTACCTGCTCAGAAATGTAAACAAACAAATCGAGCCTTTGCCCTCTGCACAACAGTAGTCTACTTTTAGGACTTTTAGGTCAATAAGGAGTTATTGTCGTACCAAACAGATTTAACTTTTCCAACTCATAATAAGTTGTGCATGTTTTTTTTGTGAAGGGCTAGTTTATCAGTCAAGTCATATTTAAAGTCTTATTTAGAGCTGTATCTGTTTATTAATCCATAAATGTGCGCGGGTCTCACTCTGCGGCCTGCATTCTCTGTGCAGTATCGCAGCTCTGTAAATGTGAGGCATTCTGAAACAGAGGCACGTGTGTCCTGTCCTGCCCTCCATTCCATATGAACCAAGGCAGCTGCCCCAGCTGTCGCTTAAATATAGGAGCAGCAAGTAAAACCCATCAAGTGGAATAATGGCAACTGTGTCAAGTTACGGGTGCTATAGATCTGTGACATACTGTGCGTGTGAGCTGAGACTAGAGGATGATGGGACAAACTCCTGTGGAACTCTTTGAAGTCGTAGTGATACAAGGGTTGAAATTCCTACAGTCAAACCAATGATATCAAGTATGTTTCTAAGTACACTTAGAAAGGACCAATCATAGAAAGACCCTATCACGAGGCGGTCAGCCATACTGCTGTGCGCAGTTCAAAAACAGCTCTGACTCCTATTTAAGGCATAACCGTAAAAAGTTCTTAAATATAACTGGACAGAAGGCTATAAAAGGAGAAAGGCGGAAAAAAAAACAAGTAAAGATAACCCCGCTTGGCCAATTTTATTTATCTGACACAGATTAGAAGGTGACACAGACCAATAAGGTCTCTATCAGTGTTCCGGAATGTCATTCTTCAAAGGGGGAGGAGCAGCCTGTTGGGGTTCCAGTTACAGCCGGTTTAGGATTGGTCAGAATGGCATGTAGCGCTGCAGCCCGAGGGAGGGAGTGCACTCCTGGAACAGCGCCGTGCCGCTAGCTAAATGCGCATACTGGCTGTTTCTGGCCGCAGAGCAGCCCACACCACCATGAGGGGGCACTAGGCTGAAGCCCCTTGAAGGAGGGTGCTCCAGTCTCCCTCCGTATCCCAGTGCAGCTGTCGCTGGGCTGACATGCTACCTCCAGACCCTTTGGCACTGCCTGCTCTGACCCAGCTCTGAGAGCCAGCAGAAGGCCTGCAACAGTTCAGGAAGATTCATTACTCCAAAAGTACAGATAAACTATATATATATCAAGGGTTTTTCTGAAGAACTCAAGAAAAATAAGTCATTTGCCTCCTGAACTTTGAAGATTGTAGTAAGACTTTTGACTTCTCACTATTTTTTTGGCTTTAAATTTTTTTTTTTTTTTAGTATCACAAGTGGGTTCACCTTCTCCGGAAGACCAGCACAACTCAACTGAACCGGATCCGGCGGTACCAGTAGCTAAGCCATGCCAGTGGGGAGCATTAACCAGGCCCTGTCCGCCTCCGTCCCCAGGGACTGCATCCATGAGTGCCGGGTTTGCCGGGTGTCGGTGGTGGGCCTCACAGAATACGCCAGTCACATCTCCAGCCCCCTGCACAAGCAGCGTGTGCAGGCACGCTGGCGTGAGGGCACGGGGGCACACCTGGAGGAGAAGTACTTCGATGAGGAATTGGCGCGCCTCATCGAGAAACGGAAGGAGCTTAATCGGTGAGAGCCTGTAGTCTGAACAATTATCTATTATAGTGCAAGCATTATTTGACGTGATAGTACAAGTAATAGTTGTTTATTTGATTTAACTTGTTTTACAGAAGTTATTACTTAACATTCGATTAGGAAGTGTACTGTTGTGAGTCTATGGATGTTCACATTTGTGATTTGAGCTTGAAGAATGAAAGTGTTTCAAAGTGTTCCATTGTAAGAACTGCTGAAAATGTATTGCTTATTCATAATTCTGTTGATTACCGATTTTAGGTCTTTTGCTTGATCAGCAAGTGTGTAAAGTTCTAATCTGTTTGTGTAGGTTAAAAAGCATTTTATCTTAGGCATGGGATGACAGAAATACAAGGGACACAGAAGCGAAAAAAGAGATCATGTGCCCAACAAAGAACTTGCTGATAATGTTAACTTAATCACTATGCTGCTGGTTATCATTGGTTCATCATCTTTTTCATGAGTCTGTGCATGAGTTCTAATTTAATCCATTCGAAAACAAGGCGCTGACTAGCTCATATACAGTATCAGTGACAGCCATGGCCTAAAACAGCACTGCATTCAGCTCTCTCCTTTTACGAGGACAGACGCTTTTCTGCCTTTCAGCTCCTGTGACATGGAAACACTGCTTTTACTCTTAGAGTATGCCAAGTCAGAAACTATACTGAACGTTACTCGGGTATAAATTCAGTGCAAAAGCATATGGTTGCACTCTGGTGTCTTGCAATAAAGGCAGTGTCTGTGGTGTATTTATATCTCACTGTGTCGTTATGGTAGCTTATGGAACTGACCTACAGTGGAGAAATAGCATAGCATTCATCTATGACTAGATATTTTGGTGAAAAATTCAGACTGATTTAAATGTAGCTTCAGTGAATCACGGCACAAATAAATTACTTCTACTTTCTTTTTTATCTATGTATATATTTTTTTTTTACAAATGTTACTGAATAGTACTGTCGCCATGTTAAATTCTTGAGTATAATGTTTCCAAGGCTAGAGTGTTAGTCTTCTCTGTGTTACAAACGCTTGAGAAATTCAGTGGGAGAGACGGTGATTAGTGTGCAAGGGAAAGTAAATGGCAGGGTTTTGGATTGTGTGAAATAGATGTATGAGGGGTGTTTAATATAAAACTGCCGGTCACAGTCTAAATTGTATCTCAGCTGCAACTTCTCAGGTCATCCGCTTATTTAACAATTCGCAGAACTGGATCTGCTCTTACACTGATAATGTCATAGTAGTTAAGCCTGTTAAATATAGGTGGAATAAATTAATTGGGAAATTCCCGACTGTATTTATTTGCTATTTATAGTGCTGCTTTGCTTGACTTGATACGCTACCGGTCTTTACCAGTCCAGATAAAATGTAGTTTAAAACTGGAAAAAAGTTGTTTTGCGAATATTAGTAATTCAATTGAACAAAACAATAACAACATTGAATAACAACATTGATTTTCTGGATGTATTCTGAATATGACACATTGCTTTTTAATGTTGCATTTGTATGCTAAATTGCTCTCATAGGATTGAGGAGGAGGAAGCAAAAAAGCCGACCAATAAAGAAGAGCGACATAAGCAGCAGAAACATCGAATGGAACAGCACCGGGTCCAGCAGATGGAAGGGCTGCAGCGCTGGGGCTACTCTAGATACCCTCAGCTCTCGAAAGGCTTCAGCATGCCCAGCTGGCAGGGAAATGGAGGCGAATGGAGCTCGGCAAGGGTGCTGCAGGACCGACCGTGGTCCTCTAGCCATCAGAGCCGCAGTGCCACCTGGCATGCTGAGGGAGCTCCTGACCTTCAGAAGTGGCGTTCTGTCGATCAAGCAGTAACGAGCTTAGGAAGCGGCGCGTTGGGAGCCAGAACACGGGAGCTTGTGGGATTCCCCCTGCAACAGAGACACCACATCTCCTTGCCAGGTGGAGATGGCAGCAGCAACCTAAGCCAGGGTGGGAGGTTCCACAAGCAGGTAGAGGCAGACTTCAGAAGCGACAGCCTTCCCCTGTTGGATGCCATTAACTTCAGGAAGGGACATGGTGCCCACACTCAAGAGCATGAAGAATGGTCTGAAGAGCATCCAAGCCACATGGCTGGGAATCAGAACAAAGAAGGATCTTCTGGAGACAAAAGCAAAGGAAGGGCCTCTAATCTCAAAGACAAAGTAAATCGCTGGGCACCCTACCCTCCTGCCAAATACAACGAGATTATGCCCTGGAAGGAAGTCAGCGACTCTGTGCCTGAAGACTATCCCACAGTGACACCTGGCCTGGAAAAGAACACGAAGTCAAATTCTGATTTGCTACGATGCAACACGCACTCAGTTCATAAGTCAGGGAGGGAATTGGGAGGAAGGTATGGCACCTCCTCACCTCCTCAGAATGACCAGGGTGAAGATCGAGAGCATTCAGAGAACAGTAGCCTGGCTTTGTCCTCTTCTATATTTAGAGAAGCAACATCTGGAACCTTTTCCAAATCCAAATCTAGTCCCAACCATAGACCCTCTACTTGTGACTCTACTGAGCTGAAACCTCACAGAATCACCTTAAACTCTCCAAAGAATCATGAGCCAAAGTCACAACACCAGAGACTCACAGAGCTGATGGGGAAAGCCAAAGCTTTTTTAAAGGAGAATTCAGAACCTGTTAATGCATCAACAGCAGAAGTCAGTATGGAGACTGTACTGTTTATAGAGGAGAAACAGGGGCCAGACAGCATTGAATGTGAGGCTGGAGAAGAGAGAGAATTATTTAAAGAGAACAAGAATCTCAACAGTGGTTACTCCACAGAAGGATCCAGACTTGCTTGCTCCTTGCAGTCCATCCAAGTGAGCACTTCGACCTGTAACATCACAGAACAGTCTGTTCCTTCAATTCCCAACAGAGGAAACAAAGTGGACGTAAAGGAAGCAGGACACCAGGAAGAAGACAACAGCAGAGAAGAGCAGACAATACATGCGATGGACGAAGGATTCGGTTCGGACAATGAAGCCGGCAGGAACAGCCATGAGCCACAATGCTGTGGCTCTGAGGTGCCGGACCTTAGCAAGCTAGGCCTCCCTGCCTCTCTGAAGCGAGACCTGACGCGGCACGTGGGCTCTAAGCACAAGATGGGGACCCATGAGCCCAACCTGAATAATGCCCGCCGAATCCGCAGCCTCAGCGGGATTCGCAAGGGTGAAGCGGAGAAGGACCCCAGCCTGAAGCCGACCCTCCGGCAAATCATCAGCAGCTGCGGGTCCCGGAGGAACGTGAACTGGGACCAGGTGTATCTAGAGGTGTGCAGAAAGAGGCAGGAGCAGGAAAGAGGCATGCCAAGGTAGGAGAGGTTTGGGCTTAAGCCTGAGCACAGGAAGATCACCAAAATGCCCTCTTAACCTTAAGACAAGATTACTTAGATTAATGCATTACTGTTATTATGGATTTTTTCTTAAGGAATCATACTTTTTAAATATTACAATAACCATATAACTCATATTTAACTTTAACTAATTTATGCGATATCCTGCTGAAATGGTCATTGTAAAGCATGGCCTGAACTATTATAATCGTAGCAGTGTTCAATGTCTAAGTGTGTCTGGTGGTGATTTCTTCGTTTTTTTAAACCACCCCCAGGTTTGGCATAGAGATGGTGACGCAGGTTCAGTATGAAGAAGACATTCCCTTTGCAGAGGGATTCGACTGGAAGCCTGACTCTGCCTTCAACGGGGGCACCCAGCGCAAGCGTAGCTTCTCGGAGAGCAGCCTGGTGCCGGATCACACCACCACCACCACGTTAGCACTGTTCACAAGAGCCACGCGCAGCACGTGCACACCAGAGATGGACCTGCCCGGACCGTGTTCCAGAGGAACCGGCAGTGACGCTTCAGCAACATCTGGGCCAGCTTGTGTGAAAGCGGAATTGGAGGGGGGCATGAGAGGGGGCTGCGTACCAGTTGGGGACCTTGCAGCGCCACAGAAAGCCCCCCAGGGTCATGAGTCTGTAGAGGGGTACAGCAGCTGCACTTCCGGGCCAGAGATAAATGATATGCAGCAGGCTGGAAAAAAGCGTAGGGCAGCGGGGGTGAGTTACGTTACGTTAACGAATTGTAAATGTCTTTAAATACTTATTTCATTTATAGCAACATCTTCTGTAATACTAATGAAAACCCTGTTTTATTTATCAGGATGTTCCATCCTCAGAAATTCCCAGCCTGGAACGAAAGAGCAAGAGGATGAAAATCAAATCTAAAAAAGGCATGCTTTTTATTTTGTGTTTTATGCTTTTTTATAGATGTATATACATCTTTGATCCGAATCAGAAAAATCTGGTGCCGCCACAGCATGAAGAGCAATTGTGTAGCAGCCATTAGTGTAATAACTGACAACTGATAACAACGTAATAATTGCCAATAGCATAAGAATTTTTTAATGCGTAAACTTATGTTGACTGCTACATCAGCCAATAATGTAATAACGAACCAATAATATAATTAATTATTATATTATGCACAATTTTTTTATTTAGAAATTTTATTAAATTAACTGGCTATTACATTATCAATTTTATCACATTAACAATAGAAAAGTTATTACATTATCGGAAGTTATTACATAATTGGCTGCTACAATGTGCATGAGTGCATTGACAGTACAGAAACAAACAGGTTTACCTTAACCTGGCCAGTGACCATATCGGCACTGACTCAGAGCTGTCCAGTTACAGTTGGCCATGAGGAGTGTTGCTGGTTGGGAGAAGGCATTCTGCAGTGTTAGGTCACTGGTAGAAAGGGACCCCAACAGTGGTTCTTGGCACGTCGGAGTGGGACAAGCCAGTAGCTTATGGATGCAAGATCATGGTCATGTCTGGTGCTTTTACCATCAGCCTCGGTGTCTAGGTTCAGCCCTTTACAAAGTCCTCCCGATCAATTTTTTTTTGCCCGCCTTGCATGATGAGGCTGCACTGTCAAACCACAGCATAGTACATTTCATCGGTAACTATGGACTGATAAAACATGTTCAGTATCTTGTAGATGTGCACATCGAGAGGCCTCCATCTTCTCAAAACCAATAGCCTACTCTGGCCTTTTTGAATGTAGAACACAAGATTTCACAATATACCCCATTCTGACATCAGAGGTGGAAAGTTCAGGTTTAGAAAGTACAAATCCAGACCAAGATTTTGTTTCAACCAATCTGTTGAATATAACGACTTAGTCATAAAATAATTTGGTTGGCTAAAACAAAATCTTCGTCTGGAGGTTTACTTTCTGGACCTGAACTTTCCACTACCTGACAAACACCGTCTGAGTAGCTCAATGTCTTCATACTGCATCTCACAGAGCATATCCCAATCTGTCGCCTCTAAGATGTACCTCAAAATGCCCTCAGTTTGCTTCGTACTCTCGCTTGCGGTGCTAGTTGTCACAGGCATCTGTGGAGTCTGTGTTTGGGGATTAGTTTGGGGATTAGTCGTGTGCTGTACTGCTGAGTGGAGTCAAGGCAGCTGATCGCTCAGCATCTTTGACATTTGAGTAAGATAAGTCCAGGGTCTTATATCACTCTTGTTGGGCAGTTAAAAATTGAAAGAAAAGAGAGAGAGAGAGAAAGAGAGAGATTGATTCCCAGAAGTCTCTATACAGGTGTTGGGAAGCTATAACTGTCAAGTGGATCCATTTGATTGCAGCAACAGCATCGGTAGAGGAGGGAGTGTATGCAGTGAGTGTATGCAGTGAGTGTATGCAGTGAGTGTATGCAGTGAGTGTATGCAGTGAGTGTATGCAGTGAGCACAGTGGTGTGTGGAATCTCCCAAGGTAGGTAACATGGGGCAGTCCCATGGCTAGCAGGTCAATATTTTGCATTCATACCCTTTAGCACTGATACAGTAATGTGTCCCCAGTTACACAATCTGTTGACCAAAACAACGTCTTTCTTTTACTGCTTAGTCTGAAATGCAGGACATTCTTTTACTGGGCAAGTGAATTGGAGTGCTTTCTTATTTGGCCACATCCAGTAAAAGGAACAATTGGATGTAATAAACAATAGCAAGGAACAGTAGACAGATGCGCAGTAGCACAGTGAAAACTGAGTAACATTAACACTGCTACTCGCATAAAATTTGCAGACTGCAGAATTATTCCAGTAAGCTATTCAGATAACCACAATGTGGACAGCTTCGGGGAAGAAACTGATCTTGAATCTGGTAGTCAGGATTCTGACGTTGAGAAGCCTCCTACTGAATTGCAGGAGTTAGAATAGCTTTTGGCCTGAGGTGTTTGGTAATTCCGTACTTGTGCGCAGCAGCGGTCCATGTATCTGGTCGATAGATGGCAGTGCAGTGCCAGCGATCTAATGGGCTGACTGAACTATCCCGTCTATGACCTTCCTGTCCTATGCTCCAGCATACCATGCCATCATATCATTGGTGATTAGCCCCCCACTTCCGCCGCAAGAAGGGATACCATCATATCTGGCAGGCTTGTGGACTTTGCCCTGCCTCAAAGTCTCCCCCACATCCTGTTTAGACAGTTGCAGCTCAGATTCTTCTGGTTCACTGGAAGCTTTGAATTTCCTTGCCTTTTGAGTGTCAAACCATGCATAGAGGTTAATCAGCTCATCGGATAGCAACATCAGTAGTTGTAATCTGACACCTCTGTCCTTTGTAGTAAATAATAGCCTGCATGTTGTTCCGCAAACCCCCTTTGCGGACCCCTACAGGTCTCTGCCTGGTTCTGGTGAAACCTGGTTCTCCTGAACCACTCATGCGTGTCCCTCTCTTTGGGAACACAAGCACAGTCTTTGATATATTCACTATACACAAGCGCACACATACACATCCATCCATTCATGGAAATCCACAGGTTTCTGCTTCACCTCGTAAGACAAAGAGATGATATTTCCAGCCTCTGTTTGTATCCTGGGTGCAACAGGACGAAAGTGTGGACCAATGTGCTGAACTTTAGGTTTTTGACCTTGCTGATGTTTTTCCACGGGGAAGTCCTTGTGGATCTGCTTGTCCGAATTGGGAATGCATGGGTTAGGGCAGGTTTTTATGGAGAGAATTTATCCTGCTGTGCAGTTCGTCTGTCTTCTTACCCTGCACCTAGACATTCAATACAGCACTTCTGCTTCAGATATGAAATTCTGTTCAGCACAGTGCGCTGTCTGTCCGCTGCCTGTCCGCTACCTGCACATGTGACCCGCGCGGTCCGCTGTCTGTCCGCTGCCTGTCCGCTACCTGCACATGTGACCCGCGCGGTTCGCTACCTGCACATGTGACCCGCGTGGTCTGCTGTCTGTCCGCTGCCTGCACATGTGACCCGCGCTGTCCGCTGTCTGTCCGCTGTCTGTCCGCTGCCTGTCCGCTGCCTGTCCGCTACCTGCACATGTGACCCGCGCGGTCCACTGTCTGTCCACTGCCTGTCCGCTACCTGCACATGTGACCCGCGCGGTCCGCTGTCTGTCCGCTGCAGAGCGCTCCCAGGTGGACCAGCTTTTAGCCGTGTCTCTGCGGGAGGAGCAGCTGAGCGGCTCCCTTCTGGCGGTGGATGCCAGCCTGGTCCAAGCACGAGCCACTCTGCAGGCCACATACATGGAGGTACAGCGACTCCTCCTGGTGAAGCAGCAGGTGAGGAGTCACACAGGCCCTGACGTTCACCTTAGAAAGGTCCATGGGAAAATTAGGTTACAGATTTGGTTAATATGAAATTTATATATGAACTTTTACTCTGTCATTTGATGTTGACTTTTGACGTGTGTGTCTGAATCGCCTGTCTCTCAGGTTACCACGGAGATGAGCACACTCAGGACAAAACGCATTGAGATTCTGCAGGGGATGAAAGGTAACATTAAGCATTTCATCAAGCATTTCAACAGAGTAATTAGTAGTTATTTTTGATTCCCATTATGTATAGAAATATTACATACTATAGTGTTTGTGTGTGTGTGTGGTCCAGGTATACCTTACCATATGGGGACTAAATGTCCCCACAACGTGATGATTTTTTTTTTCCTGGTCCCCATAAGGAAAGTCTCTATTTTATAAAAATCCATGACTGCAATGAAAAAACTAAAAATGCAAAAACTCTTATATTTTGTTTGGTTACTTTTGGTTATGGTTAGGGCTGGATAGGGGTTAAGGTTGTCATAGTTAGCATTAGCATTTTCCCATAGAAATGAATGAGCGGGCCCCAAAAAGATATGATTACATGACTGTGCATGTGTGTGTGAATCAGACTGGTATGACCACCTCCCTCTTATGTGTGTGCAGAGGAATATACTGGCATTGCTGAACCAGGAGAGAAGGACGCTGCGGAGGAACCTGCAACAGCTGCTACATCCACTTTGCTGGCGTCGGCTCTGTCCGCGTCGGCTCTGTCATCTTCCCTCTCCCCTCTGACTAACACCCCCTGCCATGTCTCCGGGGCGCCCTCCCAAAGTGTCCTGCCCCCTTTCTCAGAACGCCCTGCCAGCAGGCCTTCGCTGCCCTCTGCTGATGCCACCGCTGTCACGGATGACTTGCACGTCAAGCATGACCCTCCCTCCAAGTGTATGCTGCCTCCTGACCCCCCCGTCGGCAGGGTTCTCCTTGACTTACTTGATGCATCTCAGGAGGCTTCCTGTGCCACCACAAATGCAGGTATGGATTCCCTTACCATCACACACCTTTCCTTCATCACGTGTTTGCTCGGCCTTTAGTACATGATCTACCTCTTCCACCCACAGACCAAAGCCTGTCCAGTCCGACCCGTAGCTTATTGGCAGAGAGTCGACAGGCCAGCTTTGACTCCCAGGAGAGTGTGAGTCTGCACTCAGAACACAGCCAGGATTACTTGAAGGGAGGCAGCTTCACGGGGTCTGTGCAGTATCTGTCTGGTGGTCATCTGCAGCAACCGACGACACTGGTCAAGAAGTGTCCTGCTTCAGCCCCCATTGAGGACAAAGATGATAAGACCATCCAGGCCACTGCACCAGCCAGCCATAGAGACTCCAGTCTTGTTGCCACAGAATGCACAGAAACGGTGACAGGAAGTCACGGCGGCAGGGCAGGTCGGACACGTACCCCCCAACCGGAAGCCCAGTCCTCACTCCCCTCAACGCTTCCTGAGTCCAAGAGCGGGAACCGCGTCCGGAGGCTAAGGAAGAAGAAGATGCTGCGGAAAGCACTCAGCGGCGAGCAGCCGGAGAACAGTGACACCGAGCAGGATGGAGAACCCGCGGGTCGCCCGGTCCGCAAGGTGAAATCCAGAAAGAAAGCCAAAGGATCGCCCACGTCCAGCACGTCCTCCATGGTCACCAAGGGGAAGGAGCAGGATGCCGCAGCAGACGGTGTTTCATCAGGGTACAAGCAGCGTAATGAAGACGCGGACAGTGTGGCTGATTGCCGCTTAAAAATGGTGGAGCTTCCTCAAGCCAAATTCTCCAAAGTTATCTCAATTGAATCCTCTGACTCCGATGATGGGTCCACCCTTCATACTCCAGCCTCAAAGAAGTCATCGACTTTAAATGCCCCGTCACCCCCACCCTCAATGCCCAGGGCAGAACCCCAGGCACTGGCCTGCGATGAGGTCACCTCAACCAGCGAGTTGGATGCCATTTCTAGACCCAAGACTTGCTCAAAGTAAGACTGCTACATTTAATTCGCTTTGACAATAGGTTAGAATATGTAATTGTTATATACTGTAGGAGAGGAGAGACCTCGTTTTGGTTTCCTCAGTTTTTTCACTACAGGTTTTTTGTGATTACATTTTGCTAACTAAGATAACACAAGTGAGAAAGTTATGGTGCGATCAGGTTGTTCTTAAAGATGTTTGGGTTCAGCGAATGGATTTGGAGATGGCTGATTCTTACTGGGTTCTTTATAGTTAATGTTTAATGAATGGAACTGTGTATTTCTGAAATCATTTTGGGTTTTTTTTCCATTCAGTAAAATGCAACAATATCTGCCCTCTGTGAAAGAATTAAAGTTATGTTCAGGTAAGTCCCACTTACAGGAACTTCAGTTACTTTAATAATACAACTTACAATAAACACATGAAGCTTGCAATGATTCTTCTATCGCCTGTTGTTTCATGCAGTTCTGGTTTGATGGAAACAAACTGGCTCTCATCTCCGCAGAACCTCTTGCAGTCTTAGCTGACATGGCACAGTCTAACCTTGTGACAAGGCAGAATTAGTATGCCTCAGATTCAGTAGACAAATATAGGCTCCGGTGACCCAAAATTTCTTTTTAAGGGCAAAGTATTCTTAGATCTACTGGCATCTTCATTTTAAAACCATTAGTTGTTCCTGCGTGGACCATGTTATACCTGAAGATGAAATGGCATAAAAAATGACTCCCAAAAGAACTGTGCACCTGTGCATTTTTTTTATAATTATACCTAGACTTCATAAAGCGGGATATTAAAATATACTGGTTTTAAAAACTTGAAGGTGGATCTGGGTTGTGCACATTAGGAGTGTATCTCCTGTTACATTGTATAAAACTAGCATGGTTTTGTGTTGCAGATGTGTCTTTGGAGCCTGGAGACGAGGAAGAACTCACTGAGGGTCTGTTTGAGGGCCACCAAGCAGCCATCAGCGCCATGCAGATCCATAACGGTCTGCTGTACACGTGTTCTGGAGATCGCACCGTCCGGGCATTCGACCTCGCGGTACGTCTGCGGCTGCAGGCTGCGCGTCTGCGGCTGCAGGCTGCGCGTCTGCGGCTGCAGGCTGCACGTTACACAGCAGCTCTTCATGTTTCCGTTCTGAATTCTTCCATTTTCTTTGCAGAACCGTAAATGTGTGGCTGTGTTTGAGGGCCACAGCACAAAGGTGAACTGTTTGCTAGTGTTATCTGGACCAGGACTACAACAGCGCCTGTACACGGGTTCGAGTGACCAGACCATCCGCTGCTACAACTTAAAAGTACCTTTTCGCTTTCATTTTTTAAATCTGTATCGATATTCCTAAATCTGAATTTGTGTGTGTATATATACAGTACTGTGTAGTCTTAGCCAGTCAACGGAAATGTTTAAAGCTATTTATCTACTTAGCAAGGTTATATGAGCTCAGAAAAAAACACAATTTAACAGTACAACATATGAAAATTAAGAGAAACGCAACAAAAACTAAAGAATTTCCTCCATTCTCCAAAAATTTACTGGTAACTTGTGGTTGGTTAGAAGAACAACGCTTCAGGTCAGACGTAGTATCATAGTTTTACACCAGCATGAAAATCATTTTATTTTATTTAGACTTAATTCTTCTTAGATTTAATTGTTTATAAATGATGTTTTTGTTTTGCAGACTAGAGAGTGTCTGGAGCAGTTTGTTCTTTCAGACCGAGTGCTGTGTCTCCACAGTCGCTGGAAGGTTCTGTACGCTGGCCTTGCCAATGGAACGGTGGTCAGCTTCAGTCTGAAGGTGAGCTGTCGCCAAACTCTGAAGACTCACACATCTGTATCGTTCCCACAACCATAACAGTTTCCGTGTCTTTTTAAGCATCCATCTTTGTCTTTCACGACCAGACGAAGCGACAGCTGGACGTGTTCGAGTGCCACGGGCCCCGTGCGGTGAGCTGCCTGGCGTCGGCACAGGAGGGCGCACGGCGCCTCCTGCTGGTCGGCTCCTACGACTGCACCATCAGCGTGCGAGATGCCAAGAGCGGCCTGCTGCTTCGCACGCTGGAGGGACACACCAAAACTGTGCTCTGCATGAAGGTAAGGGGTCCTCGCACAGTCACAGCCAGAACATTAGCAGGAGCCCACACTCCAGTCTGCTCCCATCCACAGATCTGCAGATGCATGCAAACAGCATTGCACATAGATAGATACATATATACCTATAGGAAAAATACTGTGTAGTGAAACAGGCATACGATACCAGTCAAAAGTCTGGACACGCTTAACCAAAGAGAGCTTTATTTGTACTCTTCTCTACATTTTAGAATGATTATAAAGACATCAAAACTATAAAATAATTATGCACTGACCAATAAAATTAATTTGTCTAGGTGGGGCAGCTCTGTGGGTTGGTGGTTCAAATCCCTGGGTTGGCAGAGTGATGCCCCCACTGGGCCCTTGAGCAAGGCCCTTAACCTCAGTTGCTCCAGGCACTGGCTGATCCTACTCTCTCCTCTACACCAGTTACATGAGGTGGCCTCCTGGGATGCTTTTCCAGCCGTCCTGAAGGAGGTCCCACATATATGCTGAGCTCTCATTGGCCGCTTTTCCTTCACACTCTGGTCAAACTCCTCTAAAACCATCTCTACTGTGTTTAGGTCAGGTGACCAGGTCATGTGACGTGACACGCTATCACTCTCCTTTGTAGGCTGCTTGGCGTATCCAAACTTTTGACCAGTACTGTATGTAATCATTGATTTATGAAAGGTGCTAAAACAGTATTGTCTTTCTAGCCTTGACCTATTTAAGAAAACTGATCACACTTGTGGAAAGTGGAAATTAGCGGGAGAACATATTTAAATGAATTTGAGAAAGCACTTTTTTACACAGCGTGTTGTTAGAGTATGGAATAGTCTTCCTGCTAGTGTGATCAGTTCCTTTAAATCAGAGCTAGATAAGATTTTAACAACTCTGAGCTATTAGTTAAGTTCTCCCCAGACGAGCTTGATGAGCCAAATGGCCTCCTCTCGTTTGTAAATTTCTTATGTTCTTATGTTGTCTTTAGGTGGTGAATGACTTGGTCTTCAGTGGTTCCAGTGACCAATCAGTTCATGCTTACAACATTCATGTAAGTCTGAAATAGAACTACAGTACTTAATTTATGTCATAATTCTTTCGACTCACCATAGTCCTTCTCCATGTAACGTAGAATTACTCGACTGAAGAATTTCTCCAGTTTCTATTGAATTTTTTTAATCAAGTGAGACAATATTTATTTTATTACACCTATATATTTGTGAATTTGTCTTTACATATAGACGGGAGAACTAGTGCGGATCTATAAGGGTCACAGTCATGCTGTCACTGCGATAACTATCATGGGAAAGGTGATGGTCACTGCTTGTCTGGACAAACTGGTGCGCGTCTACGAGTTGCAGGTAAAACCAGCTCACTTCACATTTCTGGTGAAATTTCAGAATTCAACATTTCTTAAAACTCGTCCGGTCACATACGTGTGCGCTGTGTGTTTTTTTTTTTTTTGTGTAGTCGCACAACCAGCTACAGGTGTACGGTGGACACAAGGACATGGTGATGTGTATGGCTTTGCACAAGGGCATGGTGAGTGCGATCACATGATCATGTCGCACTATCATAGGAACTGGAGAAGCGCGACTACTGCTGATACACAATAATTATGTTAGGAAGTGCTTTACATTAACTGCACCCTCATAATACCTTTATAGTGTATTTATAGAACATTCAGTGCACCTAATACAAACAAACATTAAAAATGTATAATCATATAATCAGAGGTAGAAGGTTCAGGTTCAGAAAGTACAAATACAGACCAAGATTTTGTTTCACTCAACCAGTTGATTATATACAGTCACATTCACAGAGTAATCAACTGGTTGGTTGAAACAAAATCCTGGTCTGTATTTGTACTTTCTGAACCTGAACTTTCCACCTTGAATATGTTTGTTATCAATGCATATTGAAGCTGTTAAGGTATGTTAGGATGTTAAGGTATACTACGATGTTAAGGTATACTTACATGCTGCTTATGAATGTTCTATGAATTCAGTTAATGCATTATGAAGGTGCACTGAATGTTCCATGATTGCATTATGTATAGGTAGGTGCAGCTAATGAGAAGTGTCACCTTATGTTATTCTGTTACATAGCCAGAACATTTGTCCAGAGTCTATTTTCTTACACTCTAGATCTACACCGGCTGCTACGATGGGAGTGTGCAGGCCGTCAGGCTCAACCTGATTAAGAACCATCGCTGCTGGGTGAGACGTGGGATTGCACGGGGAACGGAGGAGACTCACCTGCATAACCTATTCAGAAAATGAAACTTCACTGGAGTTTCACCCATTTCATTGTGACTTAACAGCAGTAACCGTGGATGTAGATGTGTTACGTACACGTGAGTTAATTTCATCCTCCCTCTTCTTCAGTGGCAGGGCTGCTCTGTGGTATTTGGTGTGATGGAGCACCTACAGCAGCACGTGCTCACTGATCACGTCAGTCCGAGCTTCCATACGCTCAGGTGTCGCTGGAGGAACTGCGACGCATTCTTCAGCACACGTAATAACTCCAAGCAGGTATGGAAAACGCCCACTGAAAATCCAGAAGGGGACCTTCTCATAGTCTGGACAAAACATGCAACCTTAAAGCTGACCATTGTGAATCAGAATCACCTTTGAATGTGTGTGGTCATGTGTGTATTATACTGTATGTATGTATATATTACATGTATAGGTGATAAAAACCTGTTATTTTGACCAGATCCTGGGTCCCCATAAGGGAAAACTCTATTTTATAAAAATCAGTGACTGCTGTGAAAAAACTAAAAATGCAAAAACTCTCATATTTTGCTTGGTTATTTATGGTTATGGTTAGGGCAGGGTGGGGGTAAAGGTTGTCATAGTTAGCGTTAGCATTTTTCCCACAGAAGTGAATGAGCAGTCCCCATGAGGATGTGTGTGTGTGTGTGTGTGTGTGTGTGTGTGTGTGTGTATACACGTTTGCGTGCACACGATAATTACATTGCTTGTTTCCCCTACTTCGACAGGACGCCCCCAAACACATGCTGAGACACACAGAGGAGGACTGTAAGCTGGATACCTGAGGGGGGGCACAGTGGTGAACATTTTACCTCCCATATTGGGCGGATATCAATGGTCAAAGAGGTTTCGTCAAATGATACATACATATGAAACAATGTTTGTATCATAAATGCCATAAATGCTTAAATACATGACTTAGAGTATAATACTATTTCAACAGCCTATTGATTAGCAGAAGACATTTTCTGCATTTTGGTTTGAAAACAGTATCTCCTGTGGTTTGGTTTTAAAAAACGACTGGATCTGTTTATGTACCAGAAGTAAACTTATGCCTAGAACATATACAGTGTTTCTTACTATAACTCTCTGTCATGGATTTGATAAAAACTGTAACCCTATATTATATGTTTTGACTGGACGTAAAGTGACCAGGTGGAACCAAAGCGGCCCCCTTCCTTTCTGATACTGTCATGTGGGCTTTTGCAATTTCTAAAAACTCCCAGTTTGCTCTGGGAACCAGTGAAGAGGTATGGAGGAGAGGGGAGGTTGGTCTCAAGTAGAAGTATGAAAGCGTTTTATTTTATTAGGAATCCTCTGTTTCCTGCTTCCACTTCTATAATCCCAGCTGCCCTTGTTTATTTTATATTATTATAAAATTATATATTATTTATCTTAACGTTTTTCAACCTTAGTATTGAGTGGCACATTAGCTAAATTGAAGTTAAACTTATGTTAACAGGAAACTTGCAATAAATGTTGTTACATTTAGTTTATTGTGTGTTAAGGAATACCAGTAATTGTGAAAAGTAACAATTTAAAATTGCTTTCCCCCTTAAAATGAATATTATATCAATTAATTAAAAACATTTGCCACTAGTCCTTAAACAATTAACCATACCCTTAATTTAAAATAATTTCAAATTTCTATATTAATTTTAAATCTGTCTCAAAGAGGTTCAGTGGAACACCTTTAGACATAGTATCTGCCCTTAGAACCAAGGTTTAGAAACAATGTTAAGGTTGAATCACTGCACAGTAGTGCTGAACAATTCAGCCTCTGTATCCTAGCAACCATATTCCACTGCTTGTTGATGTAGGGGGGTTGTTCCTCCTTCTGTTACTACGTATATATTTTACTGATTGTGTATGAGGAACGTTTCCAGTTCTTAAACTGCAGACCAAATGATGCCGAGGAAAATAAAACTTTAAAAAGAAACTTAAAGACAGGTACAAGAATCTAATTGCTGTCTTTAAAACAGCATAAAACACACAGAACTTTGAAAATCTTGATAGTAGTTGATTGTATGGCATGGAGAGGAATATGCTTTGTTGTCATTTTTAAATGAGTGACGAAATTCGTGTTAGTGTTTTTGTTGAGGTTCTGCTGCTGAGTTTTTGGCTGCCACTGTGAAATGCTTCCCCTTCACAACTGAAGCAGCTCTGGACTGGATTCCTGTAGGAGATATTTGCACTGCAGATATAAAGGCCAAAGCAAATGGATATTTAGACTGCAGTGGGTTTTGCCTAAATTTTGAAGTTTTAGTTTGGAGCATTATATCTTTTTAAGCCTTTAAAACTTCATCTAAGACTTCATTTCATTTACACTTGCTTAGGAATTTTTGATTCTTAATCTGCCAGTTAAGTTGTTTGCCAGTTCCTGAGTGCAGTGAAGCTCTTTGTTGTAAAACTCAGTTTGAGGATGTTGTGATAGGATTTCGGTTTGCAGTGATGGTAAGAGAGCAGAGTAGTATTGGTTTTATGTGTTTGAAAAGATTACTGTGTGTTTGAGTCTACACTAATGGTGTGAACGCCTGTTGAGATTTAGGTTTTAAGGCAAGGATAATGGGAGTGGTTGTTTTTAAAAGTGTGAATCATTGAGGTGCCTCAAGTGTCCCAAAACAAGGTTGCATTTTTGTATTTGTTTTTGATATTGTTCATTATTTATAATGTTCCTATTAGAAATAATGAAACATAAGGTGGCATTGCACACGTAGTGCAAGGGACCTTAGGAAGGTCCTCACTTGTGTGCCTTTCCCAGTGGTTTCTGGGTAATCTTTCTAAACAGTTAATATTTTAAAATAAATTAATAATAAATAATTGAAAAGACTTAAGTCTTTACTATAATGACATGATTTACTCTGATGTGGCTTGGCTTTTCCAAATTCAACTTAATAATCAATTTAATGTAGCAAGACTGATGACAAATTACTGTTTTAAGGATGATTTAAAGTTGAAGTTGTTTTGCATAAGCTCAGTTGATAAGTGCAATGTTTTTCTTGTTAATGACTGCGAGGAGGCAGAAAGAGTAAAAAGGGAAGAGCGACGATGCTCGTTCCCATTGGAAAAGGGTTTTACTCCACTATTTTAGGTGTGTGAGAGAGCAGACAGTGACGGGAAATGCGAAGGTAGACGTAGGGTGTGGGGAGAGGACACTGCAGCAGACCTCCGTGCCGTACTCCGAGCGTGGCAGCTCACGGCAGTGAGACTACATGAGTATGATGGCAGCTGGTGCGCAGTGAGATGGGTTACGTTACGTCACTGGCTGTGAAATGACACTGAGCTGCCTTTTGTCCTGCTATCTATCGCCTTCTACAAGTATTCCCTCAATAGCCGTGCTGTTGCTTTCACATTCTGCAGAGTGAAACATAAGCATGCATTTTTTTTCCTCTTACCTGTTCTTTTTGAGTTTCTTTGACGAAGTATTTTTTCCTACAGACTGCTTTTTTCTGTGCCAAGCTGTGAACTTGACAGACTTTTTGTAATATTACAAATATAAACTCATTTAAAACACTTTTGTTGAGTGGTCTTTTTTTTTTTACAATTAAATGACAAATATTTTACTGCAAGCATGTGTAATAAATTACCTAACCTGGAGCAGTAGTATACTCATACTAATAGGTTAAAAAAATCTGCATCATAGCAAAGGTACAGTTTGAAGGAAAATGTGAATACGAGCAGGATGACTAAAAACCCTGCTAGTTAGGATGAAAGGAAATAAAAATATTTTCGACAAAGATAAGGGCTGGATTGTATCTGACCAAGATAATACTAAACGGTGACTGTAAAAATGACAGAAATAAGGTTATATGTGCATTGACACCGAATCCTGAGAAAACAATTTCTCTCTTGAAGATAGAATAGAAAATGAAGCAAGATACCGAAGTCAAACGGTTAACTGGACACAGAAGAGACTGCAGGAAGCAGCTGGAGGTGCAAGATCATCCTGCAACCTAGTTTAGGTTACACCTATTTTAAAATCCACTGGGTTTAAGCCTCTATATTCCCATAAACTGAAAAAACATGGCATATCACTTCTTATTTTGACAGAAGGCACTATTTGGGGACTAAATATTGTTAAACTTTGTTTAGTTTGATGATTCTGAAACGTTCGATCTGAGTCCAGGACATAATCTCAGGGATCTGCCATTTGTGTTAATCAGTGCTGAGCTGCATTTTGTGACTGTCCCAGTGTATCAGATTTTTTTTCTACCATGTGATAGTGTGTACTCTCTTTGCACTTTGTCTTTCATTTGCACTATGTGTTTGCACTTTATGCACTTGCTGCTGTATGCAAAGGAATTCTCATCTGGGATCAGTATCAGTATTTCATTTGGGATCCGTAGATATTATATTATCCGAAAATGACAGAAAACTTGCATAAAATGAGATGCTGTGATGGCCACTAACAGCCAGTCAGCATTTTTACAGAACATCTGATGACATCTGCTTTTAACATTCATATTAACAAATAAGGCAATCATGTTAGTAATTTCAATTAACTAAACTCCCTGTTCTGTCTGGAACTGTTTTGATGCCAGGTCAGATGGACTGAAGATGAGGCAGGGCAGGTGGTTGGTGTTAGAAAGGGTTTACCAGAGTGTGTCCAAATCTGAAGCCAACTGTCCTAAAAAAGAATTCATAACAGCTTCAAAATGAGCTTGATTCTTTCTTTGAGCTCTGGACTGTGTGTTGGTACTGCTTTTTGCATCATGGAAAGTAAGCCGATTTGATTCTGAAAGACATAATGAGGTTCTCATACCAATGGAGGAGGCCGTCATGGAACTGGAAGGCTTTCAGCACGAGCTTGCAGAGATCTCTGAAAGTCCTGTATAGACTCAGCAGCTTCACCACCCCTCAAGGCCTTATAGAAGCCATGCAACCTGGGCAAGACACGGGACAGGATTAGGAATTAAATGAGTAACAAGGTGATATTTACTTAAAGAAACCCACCAAAAAAGCACAGATGCATGATTCAGAAGCTTATAAAGCCACGATAATGGAATTACTGTCTAGAAAATGCTGCAATGTTTTATTAATTCTTATACTGACATTACAGCACATTTTGAAGGTATCGATCATGCATTATAGATGATGGCTTCAAGTTAAAGTTTTTTTTTTTTTTTACTTAAAGCTATCGTTGCTTGTATGGATGATTAAAAATAAAGATTGCATATTTGGTGTCACACACAATACCAGATTAACTTCAACATTTGCTGACATACAATGAAAGCTTGCACACATTGCATCCTTCATCCTGATTCGTACACAATTTCCAGTACAACTGTTTATTAAGGAGCCAAATTTTGTCTGCAATACCGTAAATGACAAATCTACCCGAACTGTTAAAGCTCCTTTGGCATAGGTCTTCTCTAGGAGAACATTACAAAAATCATTCATCTCTGCTGCCTTGGTAAAGAGTGACCATGGTGCCAGAACTTAGCATGGTATTTGAAAGGAAATGTACTCACACAGATTGTGGATTTTTTGTGGAATTTCTCACATTTCCCTCTATGCATCACTCAGTAACTTGTGTAAGTGGTAAATCAATTTAATTTGTTTGATCAATGCATATAAATTGCCACCATACCATTTTGCTTTTCAATTAAAAATCCCACGCTCACTTCTGACAGATGATTTTGTTTCAGTAAAATCATTATAAAAGCATAATAAATGACATATCTTAAAGGAATATTAATTAGATTGTTTATATATATATATTTTACAGCTAACTAGGGTTTTTATTAACAATTATGCATAATAATATGCATTCGGTAATATTCACCCAATCACTTGTGATGCATGCAAATTCCCACTTTTGCTTTAGCCATAAAAAGTGTTGCCGTATGAAAGATGGATGGAGCGAAGGAACCTTCTGGTAACGCCTCACACCCCTGTTACTTTCCATGTACTCTTCTTATATTAAATGTGTTTATTTCTATTTCAGTCTGACCCAAATTCCGTAAAAACTTTCCATCTAACTATTCATTTCTTCATAATTGCTTATTTATACTGCATATATATACACTAGTAGCCAAAATTGTGGAAACACTTCCAATTTTTAGAGATTGCAGAACTTTATTCAACTGCTGCCCCAGTTACTTATTTAATCGCCAAATATATATTTGTAACATTCTTTGATTGTTTATAGACATTACCGCCAATATTTGTGTAGTAATTTTTAAAGCGTAATGCCAAAAATGCTAGATGTTTCCACTATTTTGGCCACTAGTGTATACCTTGAGTTACCCAAAAGCATTGTTCATTCAGAATGCAATTAATTCAGCCAGACTTTCTATGTCTTAGTAGACAGCAATTGAAATATTCAGAAAGGATGTGACAGTTAAGCATGTGTCACATGCACGTATTTGCTTGCAATGTCTTACAGGCTATTCATCCAGTAAATTATTATCACAATCTTTTTTCCAACGTTTCCATCTGACTCAAATTCCTTTTCTGTATCTAGTAAGAGTGTAGTTTGTTGTATTCTTCAAAATGTCTTTGATGCAGGATATTCAATATCTTGTCATAGCAGCACAAGTGCACATAAAATACATACGCATTTGTTACAACAACTGATTGTTGCACGTATCACTTTTAAAGGTGAATGCATACTTGTGTGCCGATCATACCATGAGATAATATTAAGAAATACAAAAAATGATACTGGGTTTCACCTCCGCTTTATTTAAAAATAATAATTTATTCAAAAATATAATGACTACTGTATATGATATATTTACCCCCTTTTAATGTCTCATATTTTTTGTCAAACTGTATGAAAACAAACTCTTGGGATAAGCCAATGAAATTTCTTTTCTGTGACCAAGACAAAATTTAAATGTATTTTTAGAATTTTCAGAATTTGGGGTGAATACCTTCATAATCCCCATATGTTATTATGTATATTTAATTGCATGGTACACTGACAAAACAGAAACATATGCAATATTATGATCTGTTGCACTATACCTTGATGCAAAGTGCATTTTGTAAACTGCTTTCTACTGAATTCTAATTTCCCAGTCTTTTCCCACATTGAGATTCAGATTTTCCACCAGCAGCAAATGCTTATATTCCTGATACTGGACTGATCTGCAGATTTCTTCCACGCCTATAGTGAAGAGAATTAAAGAAACGTTACATTCCTGAAAAACAGTGAGCACATTTCATCCATTGGCAATATACAGATATTACGTATGCTTACGTTGCTGATGCACCTTCAGATGCATCTCATCTGGATTATTAAAATGATCAAACTAAAGATTGCGAAACCACACCACGCCAACCCTTATTTCATGCTGATTCAGTAAACATGAGATAAAACATTACAGGATCTTCTTCTTTTATGCAGTGAGGCAAACATAGCCGACAAATGAATTTAGTGCTTACTGGTTTCAAGCTTTATCAATCTAATAATTTAATATTGCTTTTAGGTGAAAGGTGAAAATGTACTATTGAATTATTTGGTTTTCGTCGGTGTCGTTCATTTCTTCAGGTTCTCACCAGAAATATGTGTGGTCACAGCAGACGGTCTATTCTTTACCCCCAAGAAGCTGACGGAACTGACCGTGCACCCAGGGTCAAGGAGCCCTGCATCGTCGGCAGAGCTGGGAATATAAGACAAACAGCCACATTTCCCAGTTGTAAATGTAAGTCATGCAGGCATCTTCTCCCATCAGCTCTATAAAACATGACAGAGTCGGTATTCTGCCTTCTATAAGGACGGAAGAGTGGGCACTTTGGGCTTCACATTTAGATTGAAATGGTGTATGTATGCACGTGTTTGGTCTTTGGGACGCTAAGATTCATGTTCCTGCCATGAACCTGCCTGCCAGCTGCTCTTACCAACACACCAGACGGCCCCCCTGCAGAGAAAACCTGCGGAGAGAAAACTGCTTCCTGTCCTGATAACCGAAGGAGTGTCCGTCGTCCAGGAAGAGCCGCCCCACGGCACAAGCCTGCAAGAGAGCCGGTCGGTAAGAAGAGCACAAAGTCACGAATTCTCTGCCTCCAACACACAGGTTTATTATTATTATTATTATTATTAATGATTATTTTGGGAAACTGAATAACGCAATTCCCACTTAAATGTAGGAAAATGGGAATCAAATCACTAGGGTAAAATCAATGTGTTACATTTTCACCTTGGAATCCAGAGCCACGGTGAGAGTGAAGGGATATTTCTGCAGGTCGGCTGAACAAGAACCTGCTTCAGACTTTCTGGGAACTATTGTACCTCCACGCTGAAAAAGAGGCACCTAAACCAAGAACCACAACAAGTGTTTCATGTAAATTCAATGCTTGCAGAATGACCGGATAATGCACACTAGATTTATCCGGATCAAAATTCTGTGGGGGTATGCGGACTGTGGGTGTACTGTGGGGGTATGCGGACTGTGGGTGTACCGTGGGGGTATGCGGACTGTGGGTGTACCGTGGGGGTATGCGGACTGTGGGTGTACCGTGGGGGTATGCGGACTGTGGGTGTACTGTGGGGGTATGCGGACTGTGGGTGTACTCACGGTGTCCAAGGTCACCGGCAGACTTAATGTTCTCCCACCAGCAAAAAACAGATTTGTTTGGACATCATACCAGTACTGCAGAATGAAGACTGATGCATTAAAAAACATATAGAAACACACTTATACATCTGCACTTTGTCATTCAGAAGGTTTTGAGAACGAATCGAAATGTATCTTACCTCACTGGATCCAGGAAGGACAACCTTGACCTCTGTGACCCCAGGATCAGTCACAGGACAGGCTAAAAGAGCACTTCCTGCAAAACAGAACATTCTCAGGGAAAAAAAAGTCACTGAACACTTCTTATTGGAATATTGATTGCTTAGTGGCAATTCAATTACTTATGATATGTAAATATTGAGATTCTAATTCATCTTAGGCTTCCCCACAGTAATAATACCATTCATATGGTCCTACACTATAATACACCAATAAATGTCATAATTATCCATTGTGCACAATCATCATTGGTACCAATCATGTACTGATTCTCCACGGAGAAGGTGTCCTGCTCCCCAGGAAACTCCACCCACAGCGGTCTGATACAAATACAGAACAAAGCAAAAGTCAGATCCAAGGTGCGCAGCAGGAATCCGGCATGAGGCCATTGCCTTTCATTCTGTTTTTACCTCATAGGCGGCTGAGCTGAGGTATGGGCGTCATAGAAGAGAGTGTACCAGTAAGGTAGCAGGCGGTATCTCTGCTGAGCTGCAGCGCGAATAGCAGCAGTGAAGGGGTCTGCAAACAGCCAGGGCTCTCGCCTCTTCATCTCTCGACAGGAGTGGCCCCGGAAGAAAGGCTGCAGTGACCCTGCCTGGTACCAACGAACCAGCAATTCTGGCTCTGGGTCCCGGAAAAACCCTCCGACGTCCGCTGACACAGAGGGAGACAAAGGAGAATAAGGACTTGTCCAAAAATAATCTTTTCATGTCCATTCGAGCTGCAAGATATCACGTTGCTATTATTTGAAAAAATTCTGCTTAACATTGTGCTATCTATAAAACAAAAAGAAGAAGAGATTTACCCGAAATAAACGATAGCCAAACTGAACATGTTATTGTCTACCAATGAAATGTGTCAAATAAGTTGGTGGTGTTGCTGTGAGCTGTCAACAGACACAAAGCAGATGCAAGGCCGTCCTGATACATGAAATGTGACTGCAGGGCTTCAGATGACTGACAGGAAAAGTCCACAGTCTGGCTTTTCTGTATTATACGGACGTTATTTACACCCACAATCTGATGAGCAGATTACCAGTGTGTCTAAAATATTAATGAAAGGTGTCTTGCGATGGCGTCTTATAAAAGATGCTCTTGCTGCTGATCTCTCCCTTTCTTCACCGCCTGTTCAGTTCTTATCGCTTCCATGATTTACCAACACGGTAGCATGTAGCGTGCTCCGTTAACCAAATTTAATAAGCATAAAGATACACCAGATTTACACAGATTACTTTTGGATATCACAATACGTCTCTCATTAATATTTTCGGTGTATTACTAATCTGCTTATTAAATTGCAGGCGTGAGCTGACATCCATATGGTACCAAAAAGCCAGGGTCTGGACATATTTTTACGCCTGTCATCTAAAGTCCTGGTGATTATTGCATATGTGCACATATCATGATTATATCGCGATATCATGCAGCCTTAATGTCAATACTCTTAAATATAATATCATAGCTAATATGCAACTACTAAAATGGTGTACCTCATTCTAAGAAAGTGTTGTCTGACTCAAAGTCAATCTCTTTCATATTTGTCAAACAGGTTGCCTAATAACTGACAGCTAATCTCACCCCCACAGAAGGCTATCCCCACAACACTCAGGGACAGAAGCATCGGGAGTGAGATCTTCAAGTATTCCCAGGTGGCCACATTGTCCCCTGTCCATATTGCACCTGTCAGAAACACAAAAATACATGCAACACTCTGGATGCGGATGAGCAGTCACGCTTTCGAAGCCTATGTGTGCGGCTTTTGCATTGGCTCACCCAGTCTCTGTGACCCTGCAAAGAAGGAGCGCGACAGGACAAATGGTCTGTCCAGGCCGTGCGAACGAGATACTAGACCCTCCACTGTAGCCAAGTGCTAAAGCGAAAAACAGTGAACAAAACAGGTGGAGGGAGAAAAGGAGAAGAAATTACGATCCAAGTGCTAAAAGTGAATAAATAAAATACTTTTTCTCCTCCAGGGACCTCACCTGATAGAAGCCATACAAGTTGTGGAGTTCCCGATGTTCCACACCCCCATAATGCACAGCATCCTTAGGCATGGTCTTCTCTGGCCCGTCAAACACAGACGGCTCATTCATGTCATTCCATATAAACATGATTTCTGTGGAACCCTATTTGTGCATGTGGACACACATACATACACATAACGGTATTACGCTGAAGTCAGAACGTCAAAAATCCGCCCAACAAATCAAAACCACGAAATGCACGATTCATGGTCACCTTGTACTTCTCCAGAGCAAAGAGACTGGAGTACCACGCCCGGACCGTGCTGCTACTGAAGTCCAAGTAACATGAGACACCTAAAGACCAAGAACAGACACTGAAAAAGACTGAACTAGCAAGCTACAAGAGCCTGAGAAGAACCTGGCTTACCAACATCCTCATACCTGGCCAGCAGCGACCACAAAATGGACCTCCTTCTCTGTCTCTCACAAAGTGGCCAGACTTCCTGGCCTCACAATAAATGGACCAGGCAGGATCCACTTTGATGTGAGGGTCACTGATGACCACCAGCTATTAGGCAGATATATAGGAACTTCAGGAGACTTGATTACCACATACAATAGAACTTGTCATGATGAGCCAGTGATATTTTTATTTTGACTGCCCGTATTACTAAACCTAAATTTTTGGGGGTGTGGTTCAGCGGGTTTGGACGCTGTGCCTGCGATCATGGGTTCAAATCCCAGGGTCGGCAGAGTGATCATGCCGTAGGGCCCTTGAGCAAGGCCCTTAACCCCCACCTGCTCCAGAGACTGGCCGGACCTGCTTCCTCCTTTGTATGTTATTTTGGATTTTAAAAAAAAGGTTTTCACAGCGACAGCTACTTTTACAAAAATAATGCTCTGGCTAGGGTATCGCGGGGAGGACTGACAGCTGTTATCGCGATCGACTAGAAATGTCTTGCCGATCGACCTGATTGACCACCGGTGTAAACCACAGCTACCTCACCTTCCTGTTTCGCTCCTCTAGGTGGCGCTGCAGATGTATAGGATTGGGGAACCGGCGAGGGTCCCAGGTAAAGTACCGCTTCTCGTCTGTATGCTCAATGTCCAACCACATGACATCATAAGGAATGGCATGGCTATCGAACCCGGCATCCACTTCCTTGACATCAGCCTCATTCTCGTAATTCCAGCGGCATTGGTGGTAACCCAGGGAGAATAGGGGGGGCATTGCTTGGTAACCTGGCATCACCCAAAGAGCAAGGTATAAATATTAAGTGTACATAAAGACAAATAAGAGTAAATTACAGAAGGAGATTGAGTACCGGTCAGCTCAGCATACTGAGAGAAGACCTGGGCTGGGGCGGGGCCAAGCAGAATGAAGCTGTCAATCACACCACTCTCTGACATCCAAATAAGGTCTGTGTGGGGCTGCAAGGACCTCCTCTTCGCTGGAGGAGGGCTAAATCTCTAAGGGGCAAGAAAAGCAACTACTGAACACAGGAAATCAAGAGGATAAAGAGATTAAGAGGACACAACAAAATCCATAATAAAGATATTAAAATACAGTCACGTGCCGCAAAACCAGATTTTGCCCGATGACAAACGGCATCTACGATGGTGGTCCCATAAGATTATAATGGGGCTGGAACGTTCTTATCACTTAGTGAGATTGTAGCCGTCGATGCGTTGAGCATTGCTCGCGTCTTTGTGGTGATGCTGGTGTAAACAAACCTACTACACTGCCAGTCCTATAAAAGTATAGCACATCTACAGTATATACGGTACATGATACTTATAATGTAACATAATGATAATAAAGAGGTATGTTACTGGCTTATGTATTTACTATGCTGTACTTTTCTTTTGCACTTTCGTTATTTAGGCTATATCATATAGCCTAGGTCTGCAGTAGGCTCTACCATCTAGGTTTGTGTCAGTACATTCTATGATATTCGCACAATGACAAATTCACCTAAAGATGCATTTCTCAGAGCGTACCCCTGTCGTTAATCGATGCATCGATGAACAATTTGAAACCAAAATCTTCGTGGGCTTGCACTTGGGGGGCTGGATGGTTGGCAGTTGTTTTTTCTATTGCCAAGAAAGCTGGCAATCCTGTTTCCTGTGATTGTGATAGTTTTGTATGGATTTTGATATTTTTGCACTTGCTGAAATAACTTTTTAAATGTTCCAGTTCTGTGTCATTCCTGCTGTGCCCATTTAACCCTTCACCCCCCAAATAAGCCCCGCATTCCATGCCCCATCTCTGTGTCATGTGACTCTGCTTGCCACACTGACTGTAATAATTTCCCCAGGCATGTACATACCTACAATTAAGCACCTTCTCTGCTCTAGTTACTGTGTAGGAGTAGCATACAGAAATGAGCATACACCTGCAGATCGGAGGAAGGCACACCATCGGACATGCGCTGGAGGTCCACCAGGGTCTCCGATGCATTTAGCCAGAATACGCCAACAGTCCTGCTGGTATTGTGGGCCAGCACAAGAGGGACAGAGCCATACAGTCCCAAGCGACTATGAATGTCGTATCCGAAAACATCCAGGTTGTACAGGCGGTAGGGCTCTCCGTCACTGAAGTTCAACACAACAAAGCAGAGGTATGATCTCAGAGAAATGGCCACAAGATCAAGCTAATGTGTTAGCACATGCTAACACAGATCTGCACAGAGTGCATTTGAAAATCCATTTATTTCACATACGAGCCTCCTGTTCTTCATTGCCAGAGACTTACCTAGTGTCTTTCAGCTGGAAGGTATCAGCATGCTCAGGAAGACCATACAAATGGGAAAAGCCACACAGCCTGAGATCCACACCTACAGAACTTGGCCCTGTATGATTTATTTACACAGAAAAGAACTGATTTTAAAATTATCATATATTTCCATCCTCCTATTTCAAATCCATACATTTCCTTTATATTTATTATACACAATAACCACCAACCACTTGCTTTGATGTCCACAAAATGTTTAAATTTCTCCCTCCACAATCCAGTGGGGTCCTCTTCTTCATCCTGAAATAAATCATAATAATTATAAAATATATATATTTAAGGGGATAATATTCTTACTGAACTACTGAACCTTGATGAGAGGTCAGAAATGTTCCTGATGTGAGGAGTTTTAATCAGTGAGTAAAAGCTGCTTTACTTACCACCGATGTCAAAGGCCTGAAAAGCAATGAAACACGAGAGGAAACAACTATAACTTAGAAATGCAACTTAAATATAACTTGGTGTCTTAGAGCTCCAACACACATTAATGTCATAAGAAAACAAACATGATTATTATTTCACCTTTCGGCGAAATTACTTTGGACTCATTACCATGAGTCATAAAAAGGTCATTAATTGCAAATTGTGACTTTGAGGATTTTCTCCCTTCTTGTCGGATGAATACGCAAGTTGGGTCGTTACGAAAGCTGCACTACCTTGTCAAGAATGCATTTGACTGCCGGACAGGGGCACAAGGAACGGAAACAGCCAGGATCACATGCGATTTCAGTACTTAAATATACAATTTACCAAATGCAGGGAAGACAACTGCATTTGTATTTTAGGCAATAAGTTCAACATGCTCAAAACTGGCAGCAGTTGCAGTAATTGACCCAAGGCATCAACATCGTTGCAACATACTGTATAAGCACAAGTGCTGAGCCATGCTCAAAAAAGACTAAACAAAATTAACAACAATCAATAAAATCCGGAAATAAGATGATACTTTCACATCTAAATTATTAGTAGAACATCTGATTAAACCGCAGAGATATTACTGTCATGCATGATGCTTGGGTTTCTTAAGGTTAAAATAACTGTGTATATCCTGAACCCCAGGACCTGTTCAGAATCAGCAGCTGGAATGGCACATATAAAATGGACTTGTTTACTGCCCAACACAAATATTCATCTAGTTTTTTTGCTGTGGTGTCATTTGGATAATTTTTCATGACTGCTTATGGCACCTGTCTGTTGCACATGTAATTTGTGCCAGGTCTATGTCAGGAAATCCAGGCCTTTGTTACTATCAGAAACGCAAAACGAGCAAACAACTGTACATGGTGCCACACATTTTTGAAAGTCTGGCGAAACACTCTCACCTCATCTCGGGTGGATCCTGTAGTACCTCAAAATACAGCCTGCTCTTTTGGTTTAATGTGACAGTCACCTCCCCCTCACACAACACCTCCAGCAGCAATGGGCAGGCTTGTATGCGGACTTGGTACTGAGAAACACCCCAACCCAGTGTAACAGAATTCTCTTCCTTTTTGTCTAAGCGCAACCTGACAGGAAAAAAAGTTTCAAGAGTCTGACAGTCATAAGCATAAAAGTTATGACATTCAAACAATTTCTTGGCACTTTTATTTTTTTCTATATGATGTGAATATTATGTAAATAACACCTCATACATTTAACTATAATTTCAGTTATAAAGCTATACATTCACCAAACTATGAACTAACGTGTTGTCATGGTAATGTCAATCCCTCCTTTGACACTTAGCTCTAATTCCATACATGTAAAAAAAATTAAAGAGGTTGCGTACCGTTCATAAACTGGTTCTCTTGTTAAAACATCTAGAACCTTGTAGCGGGGTCGAATTGGCTTGAGTTCATCAACTAAAACCCTAATAGCCCCACCTCTGATGGCACATACTTGTAGAACCAGCTGCACCTGTAACAGTCATGCAACACAGTATTTACTAAACAGTAAGTCTAAGCCATTTATTAGCATGAAGTACTGAATAATGAACCAGTGACCGAAAGGTCTAATACTGAAATCTCAAGAAAGGCTGCCGCATTGCAACACTTAAGCTGCAGATTTATCCAACACCGTTGCATTGGGGCAAAGGTGCAGTGAAACGCTTGTTGGTGGGAATTTCAGAGACAGAGTGATTTGTTTTCAGGTATGTATTTATTACTGGTTCCGATGACCTTTGAACTTCACGATCCAAAAATACCTCGGTATTTTGGTCCAGAAGCTCCATTACTGCTCCTTTTTCTGTCAACACCAAAGTATTCAGCAAGATGTGATACTGTTGCCTATTTCCTTGCTTCTGTCGTCTGGATTTAAACGGGAGGTAACAGGATGCAAAAGAGACAGACGCAAAAATTAAGATCCCTTTCATTAAAAAAAAACAATTTTATTTTTTAATCTGTTTGCTTATTTTTTAAGTTTTAACTTTTATTTATTGCTGATGCTTCTATTGCTTACCGATAAAATGAAATTTGGTTACACTGCTTAAACTCGTTGCCTTCTTCATCATCTGGGACAACACTGAAAAGAATTCATTAGCTATTTTAGACTAGTAAAAATAAACTCCACCCATTAATATAAACACGGCGGCTTCTGTTCTTGCAGTATAACTTCAATGTCAAACTCATGAGAACAGAAAGATTCGGTGAAGCCGCCCCTCGCGGAAACTGACAGCGGCTCCTTCACACCATCGAATGACGTGCAATGTCCCGGAAATCGATTATTCTGCTTTTAGCATGCAAGAGAAAATCTAGGTAAGTTGTGTCCCCCATATATGTGGTTTCAGATCCCTACTGCAGCTAGTGACGGGGGGGAAATACGGAGTAGCCGCATAGGGCAGCACTCGCGTAGAAACGGTGTTATAAATCAGCGACCAGCTCAGCAGTTTTGCCGGAAATTAACCGATTCATTTAACGACGCAGGCCTTGAATTGTTGCATTTTAAAATGGATTTAACAATTTACTGCGAGTTGCATGCCCAAACGGAAGATTAAAGAGCTACCTTTCGACAGTATTCGTTTCGATTTCTGTCATTGTCTCTTCGGTGTTTTTATTTTTGGAGTGCACAGTTTATTAACAACTTTCCTAAATCAGTCAATAATGGTGGGACACCTGAAGCCAGGACCCCGAAGCGCGTTCGGAGGACCACGTGATCGTGACAAACAAGGCGTCATTTCCCGTAGAGACACGCCATTGGTTCATTTGGAGTTTCGAGTTCTAGATACACGGAAATGAAGTCCCACGTGTCATAGGTTGTATTTTAGTGTTGTAGCTCTTTAATCGAATCTCTGGATGGAGGGCATTTTTTTGCAGAAGTTCTCGAAGACGTGTATTGTGTTGACTGAATCTCGACGTTAATAGCCTTATTTAGGGATTATAATACGGAATTGGCTTCGGTGTTGATAATTCTGCTATTTATAATTTGGGCGTATTCCTTTCCGTGAAGCATTGTCACTTGGCAAATAAACGCAGTACTTCTTTGAGCAATAAAAAGATTGTTGAGACTATGAGGAGTAATCGCTGTTATCATCTGAGATGGAGCCAGCTGCCAAAAGAAGATATTCGTCTATGTAATATGATAATTTGCCATTGTATAAACCAATAAAGCGAATGTACCTGATATTTGTGACTGCATACTTAGTTATTAATGTATCTTTGCTGTGATGTATCCCCGCCTGTCACTCTGACTATTAGCGTTTGATTCAGAGACGGGTAAGGTTTTTATACTTTTTATACTTGTATCTGTGCATTCATTGAAAGCTCATCCTAGCTTGTCCAATCCCTGACAACATGTATGTGGGTGATGCTTTATTTGACTCACTTTTACACCTGCCCAGTCCCAAAAGCACACCAATTTCCACACCTCGATCACTAACACGCCGGACACACTAGGAGTAATACCATTATTATTACTTATATTACTTTACCCATTTTCTTAATAGAATGGGACACCTTTGGAGTCTCAACTAATTTAATTATTATAATTTCATTATAAAATTCTAAGTAGTTTCACAAAACAAAACAACAAATGACTTCTTTACCTCATATGTTAGAACACTAAAATTATAAAAGAAAAAAAAGAAATACAACTAACTGAATATAAACTAATAAAGGATTTTAAATGGCACAAAAATATTGAATCGTCATTGCACTAGCGGCTGTAATAACGCTCTTGTGCACTGACTTGTGTATCGCACCATGTCCTGCTCTAAGCTGCATGACCAGCGGGTGACTTCACTTTCAAACGCAATTGCTTCGGGAAGCCTCACAAGTTCACCTGGCCGCATTAACGCGCGGGTTTACTTGGTGTACAGGTAAGTATATCTGCAAAAAACAAAGCAGTAATTACATCTTGCCATGACTTGATGTAACATTAGTCACATCAGCAGAGCTGATTTGCTGATGTGTTTGTAGTGCCGGGGTGGGGGGTGCTCCGAAGTGATTTCTTGTGTGGGGATCCTGAAACAAGACATTCAACTATTCATCACTACACATCATACTACACTGATGCATATTTCACCTACAGTAACTTAGACAAACCAGTCGAACAAAAGAAATCAATTGATGCTATTATAATTTATTTATGCTATAATTAAATAACCTGATTTTCACACCTCAGTTTTACTCCGACGAATCTTGAATAAACTTCTTTTTAATTCAGACTTCTTTTTCGGCTGTTTTTTTCTGCAGTGTAAATGTACATCGCTGACACTTTACTTGACGGGGCACAAATACTTTTAGTATTAACGCAGTTAATACTGTAGTACAAATCAGGAATAAAAATAGTTGCTACTTGAGATAAAATTCGTCACAATTCGTTAATGATGAACAATCAAGAGATCAGTATTTCAGTAACTTATGTTATTCATTACTTGTTCTTTCAATAGGTCCTAGTAGTTCAGTAGTTGACAAAGGTTTACAGAATTCATAGATTTAGTAACAAATATAGTAACTGCTTGGGATGCATGCATCGTGATTCTTTAATGATGAGCAAATACTTTTGTTATTCGTGACTTGTTATAATTGTTCCTTCGGTGTTTCACAAAGCTTTACATAATTAACAGACGTAATAACAAGTATAGTAATTGCCTGTGATAAATTATGCGTCTTGATTCATTAATTAGTTTGTGGTTAATTAATGCATAAGTAATGGTGTGATACGAAATTAATTTTGCCCCGTCAAGTAAAGTGTTACTTGCATATCCTTTAAAACAAATTATTCAAGTTCCTGTATGTGTTTCTCAAATATTAGTATCAATGGAAACTAGTATATCATCATTCGTATAAATCCAACAATTGAATGCACTTTTAAGGTTGGAGTGGCCATTTTATTGACCTATTAGAAATGATAAAGTGGGCGTGTCCCCTCCGCTCCGGATGTCGTGCTCCTTCGGCCACCAGGTTGGGACTTGGGAGACACTCGGCTCATTCCGTTTCTTCATATCCCAGCATCGCCACCTACAGTACGGAGTCCAAACGAACCGTTGGAGAAATCCCGAGAACGGCACCCCGGAAACGAATGTTGAAGATATCTTGTGTTTGTAATTGTTTTAAAAAATGGTACATGCCACAGCGTATTTGTTTTGCTCAGTGTTTTTCATTTCAGTGTTTCGGTCTGGGAACGGGAACGGGGCCGAGGTCACCTTGTGGAACATTGAAATCAACTCGGTGAGTTTCTTAGCCTGTATTTCTCTGGCTCCGAATGCTGCGAGTTATGTCAAACCTAATGGATGGCTTACCAGCTAGCTAGCTCTATAAATTAACTGGTGTGACATATTTGTTCGATTAGATGACTGTTATCTAAATAGCTGGTTTCAAAAACAAGTTCCATACCCCTTCTCGTTTTGTTTTTTTTACCCATCACAGCAGCATTTATATGAACTAAAGTCAAATCCAGCAGTTATACACAAATAGCCAGTAAGATTTATAAGTTCTGATACACACCATCGGACTGCACAACGCTAAATCGATAATAAACTAGCCAGCTTTCATTCCCTTGTGAAAAGAATCAAAGACTTACTGGCTGTGAGGTTTAGTGTCACATCGTTGCGTCGCTGTCGATGCCAACATATGGCATAATAAAGTATGAATACAGCCAGAGGAAAATGATCAAATCATTGATAGATGCTCGTCATCTTGGCTAAATAATGAATAGGGTTTTAAATATACAGTTCGTCTGTAATGAAGATTCCCTGGCCTAATTTTTAAGAATGATGATCTTTATGCTGTAGTTTCCACACATGGTGTTAATGTGCTTTTTACAGTATCTCGGGGGTCTAATACATTCATATAATATTTACCCCGGTCATTTTCCTTCCTGCACACGCAGCAATATATTAGAATTTTCCTAAATGCTTTAGAATAGTTGTAATTGCAAAAAAAAAAAAAAAAAAGAATATTTGTCTATTCTAAGGTTCTTTAATGTTATGTGGTTAAGGCTGCCGATACATTTGTGTGGAGCCCTGGAATAGTCTTGGGTTTAATGCATAATCTTGTTTCAGTCTTAATGCTGTTTTAGAATTGAATTTGTGTTTTTTTAATTGAATTTGTGTGATTTAAAACCTGATAGGTCCTTTCATATGGAGACATGCAGAAAACTCAATGGCATAATATTGTTTTATACTTACGGTTGTACATGGATCGGAATGTGCCGGTATCTTATCTCTGTTGTTTTAGATTACTGCTTTCAAGTTAGTGCTGAAATGGAAATGTATCGAGAAATGCCTGTGTGCATTTTCTTTTCAGGACTATGAAGCTGTTTTCCGTAACACGTTGTTTGCAAACACAACTGTCTACATAACCTGTAAGTGCTGCTGTTTCTTAGACGGTCTTACACTTTTTCCTCAGACAACATTCATTAAGTTTGCATATAATTTTTGACTGTTTTAGACCAGCAGTTCCCAATCCAAGCATTATAATTCTGCTTAAATATGTTTGTTGCTTCTTTATTCAATTCAGTTACTGGTGATAAGTCGTCTTGTGATGAAAATACGGCCTTTAACATCAGCTGGTATCTCCGGTCCTCTGTTTGCTATAATGAGGTCTTCAATACGGCGGTGAGTGCCTTTGTACTCAAACACTATTATATATGTTAACACTCTTGGTATTTTTCTGTCTTTTAACAGTTATTTTTCCATCACCCTCAGGACAATAATGCATTAAATATGTTTGGCATGGAGAAAATGCTGAAGGACAACTGGAATGGCTTCTACAGCCAAGGTTTTGTTGAGTTCGAGAACTGCTCTTCCCTCTTTGCTGGCAAGGTGGATACCGGTTGACTTTGTTTGTGGAGCATGTTGGGTTGATTTTGTGAATAAGAATCAGAATCGAGTTTATTGTCAAGTACGTTCACACATACAAGGAATTTGCTTTGGTGGTTGGTGCCAGACTTCAAGAGATGAGGTGGTTAATATATAAATATATATATAAATATATATATAAAAATATATTTTAAAAATATATAAATATATATACATGGAGTACGTGCCAGCTCTTTATAGACTTTCTCAAACTTGGGTGTGTTTGTGTACTCTACAGGTGTATTACCAGACATTTCCTCCATATCAGCCCCTCAGCAAACCGGATGTAAGTACAGAAGAGCTCTGGCAGTACTGTAGAGGATAGAGAGTCATTGGCATAACTGAAGAAGATGTTAAGAATTGGAGATGGGCTGTCAGCCTTTTGTGTTTAAAAGAAAAAAAACTTTTGTTCACCAGAAAATAATTTCCATTTTTGGCTTATGGGGAAGTTTAAAATATGCTATTATGATTGTGGTTTCTGGTCCTTTTGGATGGTTTATGGAGATTGTTCTCCTGGTGATTTATTTGTCTCTTTTCCCAGGATGATGGAAACGGGCTGTTTAATCGGAGTTCAATCCCGATGTGGCGTGAGAAACCGGTGAGCGGTGGCATGGAGAGATTTATGGGGGCATGTTCTTGGCTCTGAAGATTGGGCTTGGTCAGCAGTACTCCCTGAATACCTCTATTTTTATTTGTGTGTTTCTACTTTTCTTTTTTCCCCCCACAGCCGGCTGGTGCGGTGGCCAAAACATGGCAAGACAGCCCGTATATGTTCATTGTTAAGGTGCAGAATCTGTCCAACAAGCTGGAGATGGTACGAAGGAATGCGGAGCAGACCACTGTTTCCTCTCGAAACTTTGCCTTTACTAGTAAGTAGTAAATCCCAGTTACTAGCTTACAGAACAGATACGATGAAAAAATATATATATTGTGTGAGTGGTGTGTGTGCCCTGTGATGGGTTGGCACAATCTCCTGTAGCTTCTTCGACCCTGCATAGGCCAAGCAGGTGTACAAGATGGATGGATGGATGTTTCCTGATGTTAATGAAGTATGCATATTATTATGCATATAAGAGACAGGGAATGTTGTCTTAACTTGTGTATGTGTGATTGCATGTCCGCAGTGACGGTGCAGATGAAGGGTCCCTATGGATATACCACCCCTGCAGACTGGCCCCTCATGATGGTAAGATGAGTATATCACCCCCTCCTTGTCCAGCCCATGGCCGTCATTAGGTCCATTCACTCGGGGCTATGCCATGCCAGTCTTCCGATGCCAGTCTTCCTTCAAAAAGAAAAAAAAATCAGGCCAGAGGTAAAGAGACTTGGCCTCTGATTTTTTTCAGTAGCTAGAAATGCCCCTGGTCCAGCCTTTTATAAACCAGGTACTGTAATCAACACCTAAGGC